CTGTTGTTGGGGTGTGTGGAGCTGGGTGCTTCACACTTCAAACCAGCAGCATCCCACTGCTTGGGAAGGAGGGGCTGGTTACGTGACTGCAGAAGTGAGTCAAGGGAAGAGCATCTTGGCCCTCTCCCCCACTGATTTGGAGAGATCGGAGTAAATAAACAAATCATGTTGTGTATTAAGAAGAACAAATGAAAGCAGCACAAAGGAAACAGGTATCTGGAATCAAACAAGAATTATTTTATTAGAAAAGACATAAAAAATCCTCTCCAGTAGGCACAGACTAGGCTGTGCACAATATAAGAAAAAAGATGTATCAGAAGTACAAACACGAGCCCCAATTTAGAATACAAACCAAATGCTGATGGAGAAATATGCATCGACAGATTTGTGTGTCAGTTGCAGCAGTTTTGCTATGCTGCATCACTCCTGGTAATAACCTTTGTGCAATATTACTCCCACCCTAGCATTTATTTCAGATTTTCTAAATACACGACATGTTTCATTTCCTGAGTCCATTAATTATGTCTTATTGAAAGCCACATATGTTAGAGAAATAACTTGTACATTTTCTGGCTTGCCCTCTGCTGCTGTTTTGTATTTTTAATTTATATAAACTTTTCAAATGGTAAGCGTAGGAAGCAGAGCATGTCAGAGGAGTGCCACATGAAAATGAAGAGTGCCTGGGAGATGTTCTGGTGTGTTTGTGACCTAATGGAGCATTTTTTTCCATCTGGGAAAATCCAGGGTCAAGAAAGTAAACTCCTGTTTAGTCTGTGACCCCGGAGCACAGTCGAAGCTGAACACGACCCAGTGGTTTCCGAGCAGAATGTGAGATGTGACCCAGGCACACAGAGGACAGCGCTCACAGTAGCTCGCCAGTGATTCCCGGGTTGTTTTGACCAGAATAAACTGCCTTGAAGTAGTGCTGCATTGGTCTGTGAAGTGGATAAGTATTGCAGGCAGACAGTTCAGATAGTTCCTGGGACTTTTTGTTGTAATCAGACTTCGAGCAGAACTTCCCACTGCACATGCAGTTCGCGTGCTTCTATTCCTCTGTGTTTTCTGTGGTCCCCACAGCCTCTCACTGCCTGTGTGATGGGGAATATTTCATTGCCACCCGTTGTGTCAGAGAAGAGAGCCTGCCATCTGTAATCAACAGCTGTAATGAACGCTGCAGTGACTATAAGAGTGTACCAGATACCAGAGCATATCTGGTTCATCTCCAGGCCATAAACCGCTGTTTTTTTTTACTTGTTTTATCCCCGTTCTTCCCCTCCTCCCCTACCCCTTTCCTGTAGCAGGAGGACCTTGGAGGAGGGTGTCCAAAGGACCGTCAAATTCAGCCATTTGTTCCCAGTCCAAACTCCTCAACAGCGAATATGTCATCTGCCAGTCTCGTGGGCTTTTTCCGTGTCTGCGTGGGCAGTGTGAGAGGCCCAGGTGGTATGGAAAGAAGTCATCCCGTGCACAGGAAGCTTTACCGTAACATACCCTGTATATTTCTTGTGAAGAGCCTAAAGATTAGTCTAGAGAAAAGACCATCCGTAAGCTGTTGGTAAAACAGTGGAGGAGTACCCAAAAGTATCCAAAATAGCTAGAGGAGAGAAAATCGGGTTTGTAGATTAATTGGGTTTGCTGAAGCTTCTCATGATTTCGTGAAGGTGGAGGTGAAGGATCAAGAAGAAAGAGTGTGACTTAGATTTGTGTGTAGGTAACTGGGAGAGGGCAGAAGGGAAAACAAAGAGAAAGCAAGCTACTTCCTGCTGCTGAACTGGCATTTTATCTGAATATCACCAAAAGGTCGCTCTTGGGGATTTCCATGCTGCACAGCTACATTCATTGTGTCCTGCAGTAGCTGATTTCTTTTTCTTGTGGAGGATGTTTCCCTGTGCCTGCTGAGGTCACCCCCTTGATCAGAGTCCTCAGGAGGGCTTCAGGAGGACAAGAGGCACCATTCAGGGCAAGCTTGTTTTCCGTTCCTGGTAATTGGGTTTCTGGTCAATGAGAGGAGGAAACATTGAGCCATCTTCGGAGGGGAAGCTAGATTTAAGGAGCAGACTGAGAGGGGAATACAGCCCCTTTGTGGAGCTGACAGACTAGCACCTGCTGAGGATGTTTTGGTGGGGAGGTAATTTCAGTGGGAGGCAAAGGTTCATCCTGGGTGCTGGCACCGCTTGCTTCCTTCTGCCTTCCAGGTGGCCTGGTAAATGGATGTCCAGGGTCACCGAGGGAGCGAAGGGGAGCGAAACTGTTATCAACCCATGGATCTGCAGTTGGCATTGAAATAGTCTATATTTGTCAGTGGCAACAATGGGAGCATTTGCAACTCGTGGGAGGCTGCTCGTAGAACTAATAAATAAGCCATAATTGATCGTACGGCTGCATCTATATCATATCCTGTATTTATTAATACATAAATATAAAATATTATTATATATAAGTATTATATTTATAATATATTTAATTATATATAACATATAATTTTATTTATAATATATAAATATTTAAATGTATAAAGATTTATATATTTAAATATTATATTATATATAAAATATAAATATATCCTATATCTAGGAGTCCGTTTTGGAAGTAAATCTTGCTATCGTCCCCAGTCACTGCATTTTTGTTCATATCTCAGAGCACATGAATTGGGCTTCTTGCCTGAAGCTAAGCTGGAGAGGGCACACTGTTTAATGTGCGTTCAGTCCCCAGAGCCAAATCAGCTCTGGACCATAATGCTAAGTATCACCTTGAGATGTGCACTGGGTGGGTATCAGCTTTTGGCACCAGCTGGTTCATTCCACACATCCTATCTTTACGAGCATCGATATCCTCTGTGTTGTTGCTCCCATGGGTTTGGCTGGAAGGAAAAATCTGACTCCAGGTATCAAGCTCATGGCTCCGACTTTTCCTTTTGTTATATGACCTGAATCAGATTCAGGACATTCAGTGTGATGTTAGAAAAGACAGAAGAGCAAAGTGCTCATGAGACTGCAAAAAACAGCTGTTAATCGGTATCGGTCTTAGGAGGCTTTTGCTGGAGCTGCAGACCTTGAGCTGATGTGCCACTCTTGGGCTACCTCTGCAGCCCTGAGTGATGGAGTTGGTCCAGACCTTCACCTCAGACCCTGGAGCAAATCTTATTGAACTACAAGGTTTTCAGTGGTTGGAGGTAAAAAGGAAGAAAAAATGTATCTGATAAGCATGCTAGAGATGGTGCTGTTACATGCAAGGAAGCGTAGTCATAACTTAGTGTCTGGTATTTCATCCTTTCCATTATTTTGTCCACGATGATACAGTTATCTGAAGAGGCCAGTTGACTAGAGGTGTCCTTTTGATCTTACAAATGGATTATTGAGGAGCAGCAACCCGAATTTGTAAGGTCCAGAGAGTGGGCCTTGCAGTACAGAGAGAAGTAAAACAGTTTGTTAAGTACCCACAATTACTTTTTCACTCCACCTTGGAGATGATGGTAAACTTTTAGCAGGATTTCATCCCCAGACCTTTCATCAAAGCACTAAATGAGCTGCCACATTTTCCCTTTCTCTGTTATGCTCCTCCTGAAGATTTATCAACATCCGCTGTTTGCAGTATTAGTAAGGGCAAAGCCAAAGGCTGTGTGTAGGTGTGTCATGCTGTGCTCCAGATGAGATTTGCCTGGACATGATGACTGAATTACATCGCCTTTTGGGATAGGAGTGATACCTGTTGTAGGTGCCGTCTCAGGAAACTGCCAGGTGTGTTTGTACTACCTTAAATTTGGAAGAAATCATAGCTCCACCAGTTTCTATCAAAAACATGATCATAAAGTGGCAATGGTAGAAATGGTTTTAATCTAAGAGCAGCTATTATTTGGGACGGTCAGGCCATGCAGTGAAGGGAAGGAAGTCATCCCTGCCTGAGCTAGCACAGCTGGGGGAGGGATTCAGTTTGCCCAGCTGCAGCGTCAGGCCCAAACTAGTCATCTAAATTGTTTCTAAAATGAGAGAGAGAGGTGTCTTCATGGGGTGATTCATCCCACCTACCCTGGGAAATGGTGAATCATTTTCTGGAGGTGCCTGTGTCTCACCATTGACTACGTAGAGAACCTGGGCAATGAGGTGAGATCAGCTTCTTGCCTCCTACACGGATTAAGTTAGGCGAGATGAAACCCTTTCCGTAAGTGATGATAAGAGCTCAGACCCGTTTTCTTAAGCAATCCTGGGTATTGATAGGGCTGGCGATGAAATCCAGAAGCTGAGCCTCGACTCCCTCGTCTCTTTTGTTTGTATGCCATACTTGAGAGGTCTTAAAAGGCATATCCTGCTAATGTAAGTGTACTTGAATTAGATGGTACCATCAGCAAATTCAAACCTTCAGGTAACCTGTGGTATATTTATAAATAATTCACTTTTCCTGTATGCGTATTTCTAGCTGTTCACAGAAACCTACATCACATAATTTCGCAAAATGTAGAAACAGCCCTGCGTCCTGATCTTTTGATTTTCCGTGTTTTGACTGCTTTGCATGATCTTTCCTCATGATGTTTTAACTCTTATAACTCTTCCAAACAATATAAACTTGGAAGCTTAACTTATGGAAAAGCAAGTATAGTAATTTTTTCATTACAAAGGCTTTTCATTCTCAACATGTATCATATGCGTTCCTTTTTCTTATAGCACCAGGCCTTTCTGTAAACATTTTAACATATGTTTCTTACAGCCATCGCACCCACTCATCAAATTCTGACCTGAAGTCAGTCCTTTTCAGCATAAGCGTATTTCTTTGTGTTCCTGTTCTGTCTGGCTATTGCTATCACCAGTGGTGGTCCAGGTTTCTCAGAGGATTGTGCTCTTATTTATTTTCCAGCGTCGTTGGTCTTAGTTTTCAGTAAACTTTAATGCAAGATCTAGTAATCAGAAGTGAAATTTACAGTTAATCTAAGGATACTTTTCTGTTGGCACTGATTTACAATGTATAAAAGATTGATTATTTATACTGGTTGTTTTGTTCATTTCTAGATGTGGACTTAACCAATGTTATGACATGCAAAATCCCTCCGCACATGAGGAAAAGAGCCCTCTTGTAAGTAAAATTATTGTAAGCTATTGCCAGTAAATTAACAATTTATCATATTATCATAGGTGATAAATTAATATTGCAGTGTAAAGGAACAGTTGAGGACTTAGACTTGGAATAGTATTCTCAGTGATATTTACTTAGAAATAGTTTTTTTTTTTAAAATCTATCCCTATTTTAACTTTTCAAAGATTGACTCTTTTTAAGGATATCAGCAATTACAGAGATTCTGGCTAAAAAAAACAGTAGACTCTTTCACCTATCTGCTCTATGACCTTTAGCTATGAGAACGTGTTAGTTGTCTAATAGGGTAGTTACAGTAGGATTTGGAGGAAGAGTTTGTGGCATCCTGCCTAAATCTTTGCAACTATATTGTGTAGCTGTTCTGTTTCATTAGGCACTTAGGTTTAATGGACTTATAAACCATTAACATCACCTTGCATAAAGAACAAACCAAGGAAAAATGTATTGCTGAAAGAAGGAAAAATGATAGAATGGAAGAACTTGTAAACTGGCAAAGAGTTCTGATGGAAGTTTGATTTGACCAAATCTTAGGACATTCAATACTATTGCAGAAAGACTGTTGGTTCTCTAGCCACTTTACCACTTAAATGTTAAAAGAAAAGATAAAAAGCTTTTTTACTGTGAGCAATCAGACATGGGAACAACCAGGTTGCTCAGAGAGGTTGTGGAGTCTCCATTCTTGTCCACAACTCATCTGGAGACAGTCCTGAGCAACTTGCTCTAAGTGACCTTTGAGCAAAGGGGTTGGGCTAGATGAACTCCAGAGGTTCCTTCCAACCTCTGTGATTCCAACCTCAACTATTCTGTGATTCTGCAAGAATTGGAAAACTACCTGCTCTAATTTTTGGCTGTCATTTTGCATGCTGTCAGAGTCTCAAAGCTTTTGGAGATGGGATGTTCAGAGTTCTCAATTTCTGCTTCTTCCACTCAACAGTTTCATTTTTTTTTTTTCTACTTGGAATTAGTTTATGACATCCTATTAATGATTTAGTACTGTATTGAGTATGACAGTGTTCAGTCATGAATTGAATCACTGAAGGAAATTATTAGTTCTGAGGGGCAATAGACTGGCCCATCTGCTGGACATGGCCCAAGTTCCTTCCTCCCTAGAATGAGTTCCCCATTTCAAATCCCATTCCTAAGCTTCTGTAGGTGGCCAGGACTGCACTCAATTCAGTTGTCTTAGGTGCTTAACTTGCATCTACATTTTAGATGTTTAGTGAACTAGAGCTAGTTAAGATGACACTTGAATTCATTGTGGAGAGATTATTTTGAAATGTTCCAGAGGGAGGTGCTCACTAGTTAAATTTAGAGATCTGAGTTAGGCGGGTTGAATACTCTTCTGGGAGGCCTTCAGACAGATTTAAAACACCTATTAAAAGCACAAGTAAAAGTTAGGGGATTTATTTAAATAGGATGCATCTTGTCCATTGTTAGGTCCCTCAGCATAAGAGGGAAAAAAAGTGTGGTTCAAATATTTTGTAATATGAATAAAGGGCTGCTGTGGGCATTAGTCATTGTATTGCTACCTTTCAGTTTTTCAGATTTTACTCCTAATGTCACTTTCTAAAGGAATGGATTTTGTCATAACACTGTGAAAGGAATGCAAAAGTTCCACAAGTGCAGTGCTGACGTGGCTGATGGAAGGAAAATACAAATTTACCAGTGAAACCAAGCACACTGCATTTAACCAAATTTAAATACATAATCAAATGATCTCTAGGCACGGTGTTTCTTTTCTAGCATAATATTTGACTTTATAGTAATTGTGAAAGGAAGAAAACCCTTCATATGTGTTCACAGAGTACTGGGTGAAGGAAAAGCACAAGCACTGCTGTATGCCACATCAGCAGTCGTCCCGTTTTGCTTTTTCTTTACATCGCCATGCCAACATTTCAACGTCACCCCGACCCGGAAGGTTTTATTTATAGTTTTCAATATCCCTTTCTCACGGCGGTAGAGCCTAGAAAGACACAGCTTGCTGACACTAAGAACATTTCCTGCCCTTTTGTTCCACGTCCTGCCAACCCCATGTCCCTTTGTCCTAATCTGTTGCCCTACCTCTGCAGACAGAGGCCCCATCTGACAAATTTACTTGTGCTCCCTAGGGATTATGAAAACCAGGAAACTTCATTAAGCGTGATTTAATAACTTAGACAAAGGGGAAGAGCAGCTGCTCTGTTAACGAGTCTCTCAACCCCCGTTCTCTGACAGAAGAGCCTTTCTTGCATGTGGTACAGTCTTCAACAATTTACAGTAAAGTGCTACAGATGTACAGGTTCATGAAAATTGACTTACTGAGCTTTGGATCTGCCCTGAGTGCTTTATTTGAGTGACCTGAGGTAATTTTTTGGCAGGAAGTTTGCTGCTGTTAAAAAGAGCAACAGCTGATCGTGGCCTAAAATTCTGGTGTATGTTTTTTCTCTCTTTATGGCTTAGCACGGTAATGTTAGAGGAATAGCACTTGGAGACAACCTGCTGCACTCTGCTGCTCCATAAGACAAACACCAGTAAAGCAAAGCAGCAAGAAAAGAAGGGTTCTTCATGAAAAAATGACAGCAAGAGAACACAGTCCCCGCCATGGTGCAAAGTCCCGCACCGTGCAACGGGCCTCCACCATTGATGTCACCTCAGACATGGTAGGCCTCTCTCTAGCAGGTACGTACCTTCATATCAGCTATTGCTTTATTGCCCCTTTCAGAATCTGCCCTTTACTAACATGACCGTTTTTTTATTCCCATTCCTAGAAGATTTAGATGTGTCTGATTATCTGGAGTGTTCAAAAAATTCCCATTCTTAATGCAGGCAAAACACCCAAATTGAAGAGAGAAGGGAAAAGCAGTTAAAGTAGATTTTGTGCAGTTACTATTTTCAGTGAAAAAAAAAAAGCAATGGGGCAAAATACTAAAAGCATGTCAAGGTTGTCTAGGAAGAGTCTTGGCAACCTCCTAGTTTGACATTGTATATACTTTTCAAGAGAGTTCAGGAATCTTAGATTTATCTTCCCCATCTTTTACGGTGAGTAAATTAGCACTGTAATCCCTGGAGTCTTTATTTGATTAGTGAGAGAGACAGGTACTTTCCAACTTTTCCCTGTTCACTGATTACTGAGGAGATATATCTGATTTAATAATTCGGAGCTAATAGTGCCTCAGACGCTAAGTGGCTCTAATTCTTTTATTTTCCTCTGAGATTTGACATTTTTTATTCCCATTTTCAATATAATCTTGTGTAGTTTTGCATATTTTAGTCATTGTTTTAACATATCTTATAAAATTAGTTCATCTCAGGTTTTTTAAATAAATTTTAAGTACCAAAGATTAGTTAATGAATATTCTAAATATTCACAGCTCATTGAATTAAGAATGTTAATATTTTCTATTAAATTTAATTTCTTCCCCTGTAACTGCAATTTCAAGGACAGGTTCACATGAGAGCAATGCTTTGCTAACCTTGTGCTAATTTTTTTGGTTTACAGGAAATATTCAGGATCCAGATGAGCCGATATTAGAGTTCAGTTTAGGTATGTTTAGTGGTTTTTAGGATTGTTTAGATTTATGATAATTTTGATTGTATGTGCTATTAAGTACATATAGCTTTTGATAGACAGCCAAAAGATTTTGTGATGTTTTTAAAAATCTGTAGTTAAAACATCTGTCCTATAAACTTTTAAATGTTTGATTTGTGAATGTTATTTTTAAATGTACATTTAGTTTATGTGAAGATACTATGAAACTGTCCTCAGTCTCAGTATATCAACAGTTCAAGTCTTCAAGCAAACTGAAGATTTGGTGGAAACACCATTTTCAGACAGAATATTTTGTAAGAGTTACCAACTATCACACATACCTTTTTTCCTGTGGTCTTTGCTATCAAGTGACAATGTGAGATGCTTCAGTGACCTAATTTCTGGGATGTTTAAATATGGACAAGAAACTTGTGCATTGACTCACCTCACTTGAAAAATAAGTGAGATGCATTTTTCTCATTAAAATTCAGTCCACATTTTCAACTGCAGCATGCTTTTCTTGCACTAATAGTGTTTGGTTGTTTGGAAGTTTCTGCTCTTACCAGTATGATTGAAATGAAAATTAGATAATTTGCACAGATGTGTATAATAATACTATGAATAATAATGTTAATTAGAATTCCTCGGAACTGAATAAGGATTTTTAAATATTTTCAAATAAATTAAAAATACACAGAACTGCAAAGCTGTACGGTGTACATGTAAGCATTTTGCTAGCCCAGGTAAATTCAAAACTAACCTTGCACATCTAGCTAAAGCAGAGCCAGACCATGCTGTAATTACTTGTATCTAGCTAGCTAGAATTTAGCTCTGAATTGCAAAGCAGATGTGCAGAGTCATTCACTGGAATTTTTGATTTGTTTTCTCTTCACTGTAGTCCCTTCCCAGTAGTTAAACTCTCTGTGTCATTTTAGAAGAGATAAATTACTGTCCTTTTGTAATTACAAGCTAGTTCTCCTCATAGTAGTGCTTCTTGATCAACGTTCAAGGACTCCTTTTGGTTCTCCATGGCAAAATAGCGTTTGGTAATGGGCTTAATGGAGTGTGACTTCAGATCAAATACAGCCATGCTCATGAGATTCCCAGTGGAAATTCTCTGCATGAGCACTGTTCTAATGAGCTGTGCTGGAGGGATGGGTAGGCAGGTGTTGGAAGAGGACATGTTTAATGGACAGTTGTACAGTTTGGAGCAAGAGTGATCTGACTGCATGTTTACTGTCTGTATGCACAAAGGTGAATGATGTCTGCTTTCATGGTGTAGTGGTAGACTGAATCCTAGGCTTTCAGGGCTTTATTGCTCAGATTATATAATGTGCTTAAAAAATATATAGAGTCTTACAACAATATGAGAAAGACTAAAAATCTAAAATCTAAATTTATTTCTCTGTTACATGGCTGAAGCTTGCAGTGAGCTGCTAACTCCATCACTAGACCGAAAACCAAATAGTTTTGTAGCAGTGAGTGTAACTACACCTCCTCAGGCATTCTGGACGAAGCATGCACAGACAGAAATTATTGAGGTAAGTGTTGAGGTACTGTTGGATTAGACTTAAAATCGAAGCTAACACAAGAAGTATATCCTCATAACAACTATCACCTTGTGTTATTCTTTGCCTCTTTTGTTTATGATTACAGGGAACAAGTAATCCTATATTTCTAAGCAGCATTGCCTTTTTCCAAGACTCTCTTATCAATCAAATGACACAAATCAAACTCTCCGTGTATGACGTCAAAGATAGATCTCAGGGAACAGTAAGTATTCGTCATTCTGTTGCCTCCCCAGTCGGTGTGGAGCAGGCAAATGAGAAGCAATGAGATAAAAGTAGGAAGTTTTGTGGAAAAAAGCAAAGACACAGCAACGTGCCTCCTAGAGAAAAGATGGGTAGGGGAAGGAGGGACAAATGCCACAGGATAGAATTAACAGAGTGGGGAGTATTGCCAGTTTTCTCAGGTAAGGCTGGTCTGTAGCAAGATTGCCTTTAGTTTAACCACAGTTATTTTCTTCTGTAAGATGGCAAGGCAGAGAGAGCGGCAAAAAAAACTTCTGAGGAAGAATGTTTTTCCTTTCCTCTCAGAAATGCCCTGATCCCTTAGTGATTCTGTTCAGGGATAACATTTGCTGCCTTACAGAAAAAAATATAAGTGCCAACCCTCCCACCAAACTACCTAGATCAGAGGGCCATTCCAGCCAATTGTGCTCAGGCTGTTGGGCAGAATGCTGATTCAGGCCCCACGTGCATGTTTTCTCACAGCTTCCTCAGGGAAAGCCGGGCTGTCCTCCTCTGTAGAGTGCTTCATGGGGAGGTTGTGGGGAAGGAGGAATAGCTCCTGCAGAGGTGTGTTCTTCACAAGGAGCCAAGTCTGGGTCAGACTTTGAGGAAGAATAGAAATTGTATTTTGGAATTCAGTGGACAAAGGTTTTGTTTGTTGCAAAGGTAAATAATTACAGTTCTGGTAATCATCTTCTTTCCAGATGTATCTGTTGGGTTCTGGGATGTTCACTGTAAAAGAGCTTCTTCAGGAGAAGAATCACAGGTTGCACTTAACACTAAGGTTTGTAGTGTTTTCCTTCATTTAGGAATCAGCCATCTTAATTCTTGGAAGCATGGTTAAGATGTAGTGAGAGCTATCCATGAGATGGGACAAAGACTTTTTATTTTATTTTATTGTTTTTAAGTTCCAGGCCACCATCAAGGAAAAGAAAAAATAAAAATAAAAAGGGGGAGATTTTATATTGCATGGTAATTAAAACTTGTGGAACAAGACCTTATCAAACATGGTGAATTGTGTTAGACATTGGTTCTAGTTCTACAAGTCAAAGAGTGTTGTCAAGTCCAATTGCATTTTTGCTCATTTTGTCCTATCATCCTCTGTGTATGTGTGTGTGGAGAGTGGACAACACAGAACATTTTTAATTATGCTGATGGGTGAAGAGCTTGTGGTAGGGAGATTGGAATCCATCAAAACAGAGGCTTACCTTACTTGTTTGGAATACCTTGGTGTAAACAGATAATAGAAGAAAATTAACAGATAAAAAGTAGGAAATGAAAAAGAAGAGACGTGAGTTTGATACACATCATCAAGGTAATAGCTTTAATCAGGAGAGTTAAATCACACACATGAAATCCAGTGAAGGATGAAGTTAAGTGGAGGCTTGGAGAAGAATGAGGAAAGCAAAGTGAGATTAAGAAAAGAGAGCCTTGGAGTGTAAATGTGCATTGTAGTAATATGTGTTGAAGGCAGGACATGAATGAATCCTTGTTGGAGAAGGCAAGGGAAAATCTCTTGAAAGGGAAAAACATAATCAGAGAGGCTGAAGAAGAAAGTGTATGTAAATCAGCATTATCAGCATTAGAAACAGTGACTGTGACAAACATTCAGGAACTTCTTAGCACAGCTAACCAAGCCATGGACAAAGCTTTTGATGCTAAGAGGAGAGAGAAGTAAAATTTTGCGGCTTTTCTCCAATGTGTTGTAAAGAAAAATAAATACACGATTTAACAGAGGGAGCAGATGAGGGAAGTGAGTCAGAAAAGACGCCAAAAGTATGACACTGATGATGGGTCAAACAGTACAATTTATTGTAACTTGAAGATGAGGGTGAAAAGAGGAGTGTGATAGCTGAAATTTCATGGTTCTGTGATAGATGTGGTTATTCTATTATTCTTTCATGACACAGCTGAAAGTAGGTTTTATTAAATGCTTGTTTTGATATCAAGTGTATTCTGATTATTAGAGCAAAGCATGTGAGTACATGCATATCTTTTCATTGTCGTATTACCCTTCAGATGTAAAAGCTGGATGCTAAGCAATGTTTATAAACATACTGCATGACTTGGATGTTTAGACCTTTCCTTGTAGTCTTCTAGTGTGCTTTTTCTTTTGTCTCTCCAGTGGTATCTGTTCCAGGGTGGTTGTTGTTGTTGTTACTGTTATTATTATTGTCTTGGTTGTCCCAGCATATTGTAAAATGTAAACAACAATCTTAAAATACCACTCAGAACTTATCTTCAAATAATAACATATATCTCTGCCAAGATTACTCTGTGTCATGGGAGAGACAGAATAAATGGCAGCTGTGGTAGATGAGGGTACTGGGGTTTATTTAAAAACCAGCAAGGTTAGAAGCTTTTACCTTATTGGATTCTGTCTCACACACACACTTCCTCCCTCCTCTGTGGTATGCTCCGTGTGGTCTTGACTTCCATCCCCAGCAGGGAGATTGCTGCTGCTCTGGGAAGGTTGGGTATAAAGTTGTTCATGCTGTGCAGCTTCTCAGCTGTTAGTGGCCAAGGACCCTGGCTGTCCTTAGCATTTGTGTCCTTGCACCTCCCTGATCAGTAGGATCATCCCTCACCTCAGTGACCTTTCCTTCACTGAGGATCTTTACCTTCTTCTTCCCTAGACCACTTTCTTTCAGGATCTGTCTCTTTAGCATCAGCTCTTCTTTCTGGAATGTCAAGCCCCCGATTTTCCCAATCTAAATAATCTAACTGCAGAAGCACAAAATGTGATCAGACTCCTAATGGGTGGCTTTGACTCAAGTCTCTATTAACTGGAGGGTTTTCAGTGTGCTACTTCTATCTAGTCCACGTATTATCAAAATATTACAACCAGCCTGTACCAGTTGCTGCATGCAAGTAGCAGGCTCCCCATTGAGAGTTAAAAGATTCGATTTTGGATGTACAGGCACACATGCACATGTATGCATCCAATTATCTGCTCTCTGTTAATGTGCACAATTTAAGATTTATTTATTTATTTTGCCTACAACAGGCTAATTGTAAAATCCAAACCCTTTCTGGTTTAACAAAGGTATTGAAACACAGTCATGGTTTTGTGTTGCCTTTAATGAGGAGGTCTGACAGTATCCCTAAGGAATGAGAACATTTTCCTACTGGAATAGCCTGTTATAAGAATATGTAAAATTAAATTGAAAAGCTTCCTATTTAAAATGTTCATCAGGTCTGAAGATTAATAGCCTTTTATAAGTGTTCCCTTGTTGATAAACAGGTCCACCTCCAAAAAAATTTCAACGCAGAGTGTTTGTTGCAGGTCTGCTGAAAGTGACCGCGTAGGTAACATTACAGTTATTGGATGGCAAATGGAGGAAAAAACTGACCAAAGGCCTCCAGTGACAAGGTCACCTGATACAATTAATGGAAGGGTGAGTATCACCATTAGCTCAGCTTCAGAAAGGTGCAGATTTATTGCCAGCATTGAAATGAACACTGTGGAGACCTGCTGTCAATTTGCCTTGTAATTTATTGGTGCTTTCCACATTCAGAATACTATGAAGAGCAGCCTAATGGTGTGGAGCACTTTTGTTTTTGGCAGAGATCTTGTTGTTCATGTTTGGAGTTCTAAATTCTAGAGGAAAAAAACAGCTTACAGTAATTAAGCTTTAGCTTCAAGTGCCTTTCATCAGAATAGGTTTGTGATACTGTGTGTTAGTACACCTGCTACCCTGAGGAATCCATAAGCAGTTTCACAAAGCTGTGGTATTGCACATTGTGAGTTGGACACTGGTATCAAGCAGAGCTGTGTGGGGTGGTCAGGGAACATTAGGTAAAATTTCCAGAATTGTCTCAAGCACCTTTTAAAAATGTATCTTAAAAGTAGCGTAAAAGATTTTAATAAAACTGAACAGGTTACTTGAATACTGCATTTTATTTTTTATTTTATTTATTTTTTATTTATTTATTTTTATTAAATCAAAACCAAACCAAACCAACCAAACAAACAAACAAAACCTCAGCAGATTTCTCAACCTAGACATAAGCTTAATTCTGTAAACCTTGTGTGCTGAATGTACTGGTGATAATTGCAACCATACCTGTGTATCACAGTTGCAGTGTGTATCAGTATCACTTTGTATTAGAGCAAACCTACAGCTGTTATGCGTTTGAGTAGCTCTGAGGACTCTGGAGCAGTGCTAATATTAAGTAGTTGAAGGACTAGATGAAATTTTTTACAGCATTTGAAACTCTGCAGTAGCATTGAACAAGAATGTCTAAATTGGTACATTTAAGTGGATTTATTATTTCAGTCTGTGATAGCTTTTGTGCACAGTGAACGTATCTGGAATATCTATTTTTAAACCTTCCTTGTGTTGAATACTTCCTTTAAGTCTGTCTAATAGGGTCATCACTTCATGTTGCCTTGGCACTGAGGCTATTTTCTTTATTGTTTGTTTTTGTTTGTTTTTTTGTTTAGACTGTGTTACCAGTTGACGAAAGTTTAACAGAATCTTTAGGAATCAGATCCAAATATGCTTCATTACGGAAAGATGCACTACTGAAATCTGGTAAGCTGCTGTGGACTGTAACAAGTAGGCTTTCAGCATCAGTAAAAGCTAAGCTAAGCTCTTGCTCTCTGCTTCGGCCCCAGGGCATTTAAGCATATGTTTCATTTGAATAGGAACAGGCTGCTGCTGACTGAGCAGCCTACTGAGGATCATACAAGAATAAATTATTTTATCGTTTGCACTAGCATTTTCTATTGTAAAAGCAGCAGAGGACAACTTTTTTCATTGTTCACTGTGCTATAAAGTTTTCCATAAAATTTTCCTAAGCATTTTTTGGGGTGAGGTGAAGCAGAGCAGTTGTTCACATTTTTTTATCTTGAAGAAAGATTAGCTTTCCAGCAACTGATTACATGAGAGGAAAGTGCAGGAAGTGAGGAAAATAAAAGTTCACAAGTTGAATCAGCTGTTTTATTTCCATACCAGCGTTTTAAATCATTTTGAAGCTTTTCATGTGAATGCTAGAAGAATGGTCATTGCAGTATGTGCCTGTTTGGAAAAACTAGACTGCTACCTAGTTAAACTGGATTTTTACAGCAGTGTGTTACAGTATGTTAGTGAATCAAAGCCACTTTAAAAAAAATAGTAGGAGAGATTTCGTATGCTTTTAACTCAACCCCTCTGATTAAATAACATGTTTTTACCACTTCAGTGTTTGGTGGCGCCATTTGCCGGATGTATCGCTTCCCCACCACCGATGGAAACCACCTGAGAATCTTGGAGCAAATGGCTGAGAGCGTGCTGTCGCTGCACATACCCAGGCAGTTCGTGAAGCTTCTTCTAGAAGAGGATGCAGCAAGGTACGTACAGGCTGGTGTGGTAATAAATCCATGATGGGGCTGTTACTGAGTTACCAAGGAATTTATCCATGTTAAAGCATAGCAGCACTGAAGGAAAAATAGTACAAGCAGCAAGTTGCTGACTGTGCTGTTACAATGAACAAGATTTTGTGTTGAGTATAGAGTTTGGGCTTGAGTATATGATAACATGAACATACAGAGGTGTTAAGGGAAGAAAATTGTTGGCAGACTGAACAATTAAGATAATACTACAGTTACCTGCACTTAAGTGTTATCTGTCCTTTTTGAAGCAGTCGTCTCTCTTCCAGGCAGCTTACCCATTTATGTGTATTACTTCCCTACGTTTTGTAGGCAGTGCTTTGCAAACAGAGGGTCATACAGAATGGTTTATGTCTTCTTTAGAAAAGACAGGATTTCCATTGGGATGGTAAAATGATTTTAGCCTTATTTCTGAGTATTTGGGGCTGAGTTTGAATCCCTCTCCTAGAGGCCTAATTAAGTCCAACCTTACCTAAAAATAAAGCTATTCAGTGCTCTCAGTGTCCTATATTAATACATTTCAACCCTCTTGGGATGTTGTGAAAGAAAGTCAAGTGTTAATCCATATGAGGAGGCAGAAGGAGTCTACAGCGTTTGCAAGTATTTTTCAGATTTTGCAAAAATGATAACTTTTCAAAAGAACATTGCAGTGATTTTTTGTAATGTATGGAAAAACTACACAACACAACTGAGTTTCTGAAGTTCACACTGATTTTACCTGCTGTTGCCTTTTGTTGTTTAGGGGGGTGCACTTACTTAAAGAGTAGTCAGGTTAAGTCAAGTTAAGGCTTTTTAGTTCTTAGACTCTAGAGTAAGAATGATGTACCTTGCATAGCCGTGCTGCTACATCCTTGGTGGTGGAAGGGACTTGGGGTGAGCCATTACACATTTAGATATGAGTTATATTTTGTATTTCTAATGAATAATTGTTTTTCTTTAAGGTGTGTTACTGTTATGTCCATGTTGAATCAGTGCCTTGTTTTGTTCTAGTGTGGGAAATAGCACAGTCACAGTTTGTATTCAGTCGGATATCTCAGATTTGACCAAGTGCTCTTTTCTTCAGTTTCGGTGCTGTAGCCCAGAAAAGTGGAGAGCAGCTACACGAGCACAGCTGCTTCTGTCTTAACATTGTGGTGACTCCTAAAATACCCTTGGATAGTTGCAGCTGCTGTCACTTACATAAAGCCTTTCTGGTCCAGAGCTCTTTGAAAGGAAATATCTAACGAGGGGGATATTTTGACTACCCTAATTATTTATGATATGCACATCCCCTGCTATCTTAGGGTGTTTTCCTCATAGGGTAAACAAAGAAGCTTGTTTTAAGCTGTGAATTTACTTCAGGAAGACTGGGCTCAAATGACTGTTTTTTTTTGTTTGTTTGTTTGTTTGTTGCTTTTTTTTGAGTAGGGAACTGGACAAGGTGGTTACAATAGTATATTATGTAGAAACAGTTTATAGGATGAAACTAGAAGTGTCTTTTTCCAAGTCACTGATATGTATAGTTTACAGTGTTGCCTCTTGGCAAATCAATCTGAAGGTTTTTTTTGAAACTTGCCTCCTTCTAATAATATCCTAAATAATGTAGGTAGAAATTATTCTGTCATGTGCTGCCTCAAATTATGTATGGACAGTTGATTAATGCTATGGATTAGGGATAATGAGAAAACTGAAAAAAAACTTCTACATCATTTTGACACATGATCTACCCTTCCTGTGGTAATTTCTGTTGAATTCTGTCTAATGCTGACTTGTTTACTTTTTCCAATTTCTTTATTCCAAATAGCATATTAGTTCAACAAGGCAATAGTCACAAGCATGACATGAGATACACCGAATATTTTTTCAGCAGTGCTGTTTGGGAACACTATGTAACATAGGATAGCCATGTGTGACTGAAAATTTAGCAGTCAAGGTATAGTGGAAAAGCCAGGGGCTTTTCTGTTCAGATCTGGGGGGATTCAGTCATTCTGTATTCTACCCAAAGTGAAACTTGATTGCCTAAAATCCGGAATCCTAGATGAAGGCTTTGTTGTGTTACCTTATATTTTTCAAACCCCTTGTGAATGCTTATCATAGAATCATTAGGGTTGGAAAAGCCCTCCACGATCATCTGGTCCAACCACCCCCCTGTCACCAATATCACTCACTAAGCCATGTCCCTGAGCACCACATCCAGCCTTTCCTTGAACACCCGCAGGGATGGTGACTCCACCACCTCTCTTACTTCTTAAGGCTTCCCCCTTCCTGGCCTTGAAAATTGTCATGTAGACACCTGGGCACCACAGATATTCCTTGTACCTAATGTCAGGTGCTTATCTCCCAGCTACAGTCTGTCGTAGCTCTGATTTAATTTAGAGCCATAAATTTTCCGTGGAGTGTCCTAAAAAGGTTATCATTGTCCCAAGTCACCTGACATGATGGCAGTGCTCATCATTTGCAAATCATTGCATGGTTTGATGGCTCCTGCAGAAGAGTGGGAAGCTTTGCTTTTGACTAACACCTCGGGCTCCTGGGCAAACACGGTGTATTTCAACCTGCAAAGAACCCCTGTTCCTTGGGATAGAGCTCACCAGAAGTGCTTTGAGACATATGGGGGGAGCATTCCCAGTTTGGTGACTGGGTTAGATAGGAGTGAGTTCACAATGCACCAGCTGAGGAAAATGCTACATTGATTGCTACAATGGGAAACTTACTCTCCTTCAAGTAGACAAGTGAGCAAAACACTCTCTTATTTCTTTTTTCTTTTTCCTTTTTATTTTTTTTTTCTGTAGGGTCTGTGAACTAGAAGAACTGGGAGAACTGTCTCCATGTTGGGAAAGCCTTCGTCGACAGATAGTAACTCAGTACCAAACGATTATTTTAACTTATCAGGAAAATTTAACTGACCTGCATCAGTATAAAGGTCAGCAAGATTTCTTTTTCGTAATAAAGTGATACTTGTCAAACGTGATAGTTAGTGCTTCTCTTAAACTGGGAACCTAGAATGTTTCAGTTTGATGAGTAAAAAATACTATTAAGATTATTTTCTCTGTTCATTTTTTGGGAGGGAATATTTGCTTTCTATTCATTCTCTAGCTTTATCCTTAAAGTATAGAAGGATTTTGAATGTTAACAGAAAGACACATCTTTTTATATTTTTTTTCCTCTGCTTTACTTTGGCATGTAGCCAATGATGAATGAAGCCCCTTGAGTATTTTAACATAGGCAGATGCAGAGTTTTTATGCTAACTTTTCTCCTGCATTTCTCAGGTCCTTCATTTAAAGCCAGTAGCTTGAAAGCTGATAAAAAATTGGAATTTGTTCCCACGAATTTACATATACAGAGAATGAGAGTCCAGGATGATGGAGGATCAGGTATTTGTTTAAGTCTTTCTACACCTTGTTCTGTTCTTGTCTTTTTTCATAGTCAAGTTTCCACAAACTATAGTTCTGTAGTATTAACACTACTTGGCATTTGTATAACACTTTCTGTCCTTGGATTCCAAAACTCTTTGCAAAATAATACATGTAGATATAATTATCCCTGTTCTATAGGTGGCAAAACTAAGGTTTGGAGTTAACTTTGCCCTAGGTGACACAAGACAGCCTGTGTGCTGGGGAATATATTGGATTAAGCTGCTGTGTCACTTCCACTCGGTTTGGTTTGTGTCAGAATAGCAAAGATTCTGATTACTATTTACTGTTAAGTTTGTATGCTGTTTCTCTGGAGTCATCATGTAGGGTTATGCAAAATCAGGCCAGTTAGTTCACATAAGGCTTGTTTATTTGTAAATGGTCTAACTTAACCCTTCTTTAACACTGTTTCATGCTTACCATGGGCACACGCTTATCCCATGTGTCCACGTGAGCAATTCCAGTAATGGCAGGTTTGGTGTAAAGGGCAATGCTCAAGGCTTCCTTTTCACTGTCAGATTTGCAGATTAAGAAACGGAGGACTTGGCATTCAAGTAGAGTTCTTTTACCTCAAAAGTACTTAATCGATTTCCAGAGCCTCTAAAACAATTCATGATTTACATGTCCTTCAAAACATTGGCGCAACGCTTTACAAAATTATATTCAGAACAGTTTTTGAATTTCCACAACTGTTTATGTGAGGACGATGAACTTTCATTTGTAAGTCCTTTTTGTCCATCTCAGATCAGAACTACGACATAGTCACCATAGGAGCACCAGCAGCTCACTGTCAAGGCTTCAAATCAGGTGGCCTGCGGAAAAAGCTTCATAAATTTGAAGAGGCAAAGAAACAGTAAGTAGAGATGTTGTTGTGTCGACTGATATCTTGCCCTTTCCTAGCAGCCCATGTTCAGTGATTTGAAAAACCATTCCATTCTATGTTTTTGTTGCACCTCATTCAATAGTTCTACTATACGGTGTGAAGATTATTCTATATTTTCTTCCAAAGGAGGTGAGGAAAAAGTTTCCCCTTTATATTGCCATATTTGTTTAATGATAGGTCCTTACTAATAGTTCTTTTAGTGAAATCTTTATTTTTCCTGAATACTTGTTCATTCGTTTATTTAGCTGCTTTAAGTGTTGGGTTTGAGTTTACCAAATTGTGGCCTAGAAAATTGGCCTGCAGAAGCTCTTCAGCTGCACTACATCATGCTTTCAACCCACAGCTGTGCTTGATGGGCAAAAGCCTCATTGACAATTTGTGTTTATTGCTTTTCTAGCGAGACTGGTGAGAAGGAGCACTGGTACAAGTTTGCCATAGAGATTTTGGAGTCTCCCTCCTGGGAGATCAAAGGCCGCCTGGAGATGGGCCTGGGCAGCCTGCTCTGGGTAGCCCTATTGGGGCAGGGCTTGGGCCTGGTGGCCTCCAGAGATCCCCTCCAATCTCAACCATTGTGCAATCATGAGAGAGACTGCCTGGCATCCACACCAATTGCTAAGGAAAAGATAATACCATTTGGGTCTGCATTGGTTTTGCTGCAGTATGGAGAGTTGGAGGAACAATGAGAGCAGCATTATACAGAGTCATTGTAGCCAGGGAAAGGAGACTTTGATAATGCCCTTCCAAAGAAAGGATTTGTACCATTCGGAGCTGATCTGCCAAGTGCAGCATCAGTTTTGGCAGTTGATAATGAGTAGCAACACCCTGTGAATATCAGTCAGATGTGTACTGGAAAGAAAAAAGTATGCAAAAGTATGCCTAGTGCAATTATTCACAACTGAAAGAGCATGCTAGGATGGGACTAGGGAAAACTGTAAACCAGGAAACACTGTTAGGCTAGGCTTACTTTTCCCATTCTTTTGACACCTCTGTTGCTTTCTGAAATATCTTCCTTCTATTAGGTTAGGTACTTCAGCGGGCCTTACTCTTGCAATATCTAAATTCCCATGTCTTTCTTTTTCTTTCTTTTTTTTTTTTTTTCTCCTCACTCAGTAACTGAGCTCATCAGAGAGCTTAATTTCTATCTGGTGCTTTTCCTGTAAGTGTTACTGAACTGTTCTTTCTGGGTCCATTAAAACTGCAGGTTCCATATTTGAAGAATAACATTTCTGTGGTAGTATGCTCAGCAGATTACACAGGTTGTGGGCCCTTCTTCTGCTACTCTGTAGAATCAGTTTGGGAGGAATTTTGCTTCTCCAGCGTTCACTTAGAAGACCAGTAACAGTAGTGTAGCAATTTATTCCTAGTCATTTAAGAGCAAGGAGGCACAAATAGTTTATCTACCCAGAGAATCAGAGTAGATTTTTGATGCAGCAGAACAGAGAATCAGCCATTCCATTTCAGCCAGGTTATTCCATTTAAGTAGGCATTTCTATCTTGGAGCAGTTGCTACACTCATTATTTAGGAATGTAGGAAGCACACACAAAAAAAATGAAGTGCTCTGATGTTTGAAGCTAACAAAATACACTGTGAAAGACCTTGTGCTGTATAAGTGAGCCCTCCTGTCATGAGCTTAAAGTGTAAAACCATCTCTACAGGCTACAAAAAATAAAATTAAATAAGATGAACAAGTGCAAAACAAATTCAGTTAATACAAAAGAGTCTCTTCCATGTAGGTAGGTGTTTAAAAAAAACACACAGTGACACTCCCAACAACAACTGTCTGCAGAAATCTGCAGGTAAAGGCAATGTTTCAGTCAGGAGTGGTGGAATTCGTGTCCTCCACCTTTAGATATCTTCAGTGCAGATGTAAACATCTGAGCTAGTTTATCTTGGGTTGCCTCCAGAGTCAGTGGGGGACACGACAGATACCCTAATGTAAGATACCTGTGTGTGGTGGGTCAGGCAAACTCCCAGCCAGCTGCTTGCCACCCCCTTCTCTCTCCAGGACACAGGGGAAAAAAGGTAGGAAATAAACAGGAGTGGAAAAGCTTGTGGTTGAGATAAAGACAGGGAGATCACTTACCAAGTACTATTGTAGGCAAAACAGACTTTTACTTGGGGAAAATTAGCTTATTGTCAATTAGAACAGACTCAGACTAGTGAGAAGCTGAAAGACAAAGATTAAAAGAGCATCTTTTCTCCCCTGCTTCCCAAGGCCAACCCCAGTCCTTTGCTGCAGTCTCCTCTCCCCCTGCCCCGAGTGGCTCAGGGCAGGCTGAGGCAGGAGAGGGGTTACATTCACTACACTGCAGTTTCCCTCTGCCACTCCTTCCCCCTCACACTTCTCTGCTTCAGAGGGTCCTCCATGGGCAGCTGCTCTCCAGGAATACCCATCTGCTCCAGCATGTGTCCTCCACTGGCTGCTGGAGATGTCTGCTCAGGCACCTGGAGGACCTCCTGCTCTGATCTTAGTGCTTCCTCAGCTGCTACTCACTGATTTTGCTCCCTCCTCCTCTCCTTCCCAGATGTTTTTTTCACCTTTTCTTAAACACATTATCCCAGAGATGCCACCAGCATGGCTGTGGGGCTTAGCTGTGCCCTGTGGTGGGGCTACTGGAGCATGGGGTGGCCCCTGACCCCTTCTCACAGAGGCCACCCATGCCATGCCCCAGTGCCAACAGGGTGCCAGGTAAATCTGATGCACTTCAGTAAGTCCTGTTTCTTACCATGGACTGCACAGAGTCCAAGACTGGCTAAGGTATAGACATCTAGGTGTTAGGTGTCTGAAGCTAGGGAAGTTGTATCCAGTCCTTTAGCTCTGTTTATGTCAGTATTGATTTTAGGGGCTCTATTTCCAAGAAGTTAGGGTTTGGAATTGCAGTGGGCCCTACTAGCCTAAAAGACATCAAGAGTGAGATCCTAATTTGGATTATTGATTAAAAAATGCATTGTATTATGAATGCTATGTCTTGATAGCTAACTTGACATATGCCAGTAAATCTGTTCTTTGTACCACTCTGGAGATACTGAATTTCAATCTTGGCTGTTAATATAAAATACAATTATAGGATCTCCCTGGTAAGATAGGCTCTTACAAGTTTTTCTATGTTATCATAACAAACACTATAGTAGAACTGAGTTCCATCTCCTCAATTTCATCGTTACATAGATACTGTTCAGTTCTTTCTCCTTTCATCAGCAAACTTGCGCGTACTGCATCCCCAACATTTCCCAGAACAACACACAGTCCCCTGGCAATCTGTGTTTATTTTGCTTAAAAGTTTAATCGTATGTACCTGCCTTGTTGAAAAGACGACACAAATACGTTATTTCCCCAAGCATTTGTTTTGTTTTCTGCTTTTGGTATTTGCTAACAATCTGCTAATTTTATTTTGGTTTTTGTTTTTTTTTTAGCAGTTATGAGGAGTGTTGGTGAGTTTTCTGTTTCTGAGAGTTCCGTAGAGAGAGCTTATGTTCTTTGGGTTGTTTTATTTTCCTTTTCTTTCTTTTTCTTTGGCAGAGATCTGGTGTGTTTTAATGTGTGCAGGGCTTTTTAATGTCATGCATCACGGCACCCCTAATTGTGCTCTAAATAATCATAGCTGCTTTGTAGAACACAATGTGTGAATGAATTTCATTTCATCTGCAATGTTTGCTTATAATGAACAGCTTCCTGGCGCTCTCTGAGTGTAAGAAGTTAGAAAGCTGAGGAACAGAGCATGAGGATGTTGTACCTTTTCCTCTGTTATTTCCAGTGCAAACTCCCTAGAGAGAAACCTTCTGCCAGCAATGAAAGATATTTAGGATAACGCTACAGATTCTTGAACCTTTGTAGCAATAGATTGGGCTTGGGTTATACTTTTGTAATCCATGTCTGCATTGAAACGTTTCCACTTAACTTTTGTTTATTTTTCTTCATGTTCAGTGCTACGAAAATGAAACATTACTTGGTGGTTCAACAGTGCAGAAGTTCTCTCTAAATTGCTCGTATTAAAGGTTGAACCCCTAATTCACTGAGCATTTAAGCCAGTGTTCAGGCTTCTTGATATTGTGCAATGAGAGCTGTTCATTTGAAAAAGCAATTGCAGGTTGGAAGGTGAATTTATGTGAACTTTATGCCATAAAATTTTCCTCCAGTCATCCCAGCAAACGTTTGTGATTGAAAATGTAATAACTCTAAATCAGATCTCAATACGCTGCATGGCCTTTCCTGCCAAATACATCTTTGTGCATGTCGTCCACGTTGTTGTGGAAAGAAATTGCTCAGAGGAATTGTCACTAAGATCACTTGTCAATACGGAGCACAAATCACGTACAAAGAAAGACCTAAAAGCTAAGATTAATTTGCTATATAGCATAGCAGTACTGGGCAGTGGCTGTTCTCTGCTCCACTCAGGTGGGTGACCAGAGGGACACAAACAAGGAAACTCTTTCAAAAATCCCTTCTGCATTATGTCCTGTCCTTGGAAAATGAATCCCCTGTCTTTTCCTGTAACGGAGCTCAAACAGATATGGGACTAAGTTCCCCCTTGCCGTAATATCTATTAAGGGACAAGAACTGGTATTTTTGGCAATGATTTCAAAGCATGCCTCATGCAACTCTCCTGTACTACCTCACAGAGACACTGCAGAAAGGAATGGTATCGCTCTAGGAATAGCAGAGGAATCCACGTTTCCCAGAGGTAGAGGTCTGAGGCAACTGTACCTGGAAAAGAAACTCTTCTCTCTGTAGTCCCTTGGCATTGCTCTGTCCTTCAAGCAGTGCTGAGATCGATGCTCACAGCAGGTTCGTCTGTGCTGAAACCATTTGTGAGTGGAAAAAAAAGAGAGTGATTAAGATAATAGAGAATGGATGCTCACGCTTGATGCCACATCATGAACGGGCATCATGCTTGTCACAGCTGGAGCTGAAGTAAAGGCCTGATCTTCATCTAGCTTTCCCTGTAGGGGAAAAGGAGTGTAAAAATGAAAAGAGTGTAAGAGTGAAAAAGAGGTGGTGGGTGGGTTGATTTCAAATAGCCATGCCCTGTCAATTAACTTCAGTTTAAGTTAATTTCCTAAGCTAAAAGGCAGCTTTTGTGATTTTTTTTTTCTTTTTCCATCAGGTAAGATTAACTCAGCCTTTAACTGATGGGGAGATAGTAAACTCATCTAGAGAGAGAGAGTCAACATCTGGCTTAGGTTAGGAAAGCAACTTCTGTAGGTGTCTAAACAGCATGTGAACATTCATCCTCTCCACTACCAGGTAAATGGTCTTAGTGGGCCTGCAGTGTACCAATACAAAGATATGTTTTACCTCTATGGTTTTATGTAATTTAGTAGTATAATAGTTTTTGTAATTTCCCTTCCTAGATGGAGAAAGCTAGTTTGTTAGAGCTGAGCCTGTAACAGAGTTTTACCAAGGCCCTAGTTTAGTGTAGTGAGGGTGTGCTCACAGAGGCTAAACAAAGGATGGAGGCCTCAATTTGTGTTTGATAAGATTGTTTTTTCTGGTGTAACTCCAGTCAGGCCTGCAATAGAGGAAAGGATATGCTAGCAGAAGGAATTTTGTTAGTACCACACCGTCGCCATTACGGATCTGGGTGCCATGTCCATGTTGGAAATAGTGCAGGTTTTCTTTTCTTTTCACAGCACGGATAGCTGTGTGGTAATACTGTTTTGCAAAGCAGGCCTCAGTGAAGGTGTCTGTGTTGTAAGCAGAGGGAGCATGGGGCAAGCTGTCATTGCAAATGCTGGTTCTGTCTCTGACAGTAAAATCTATCTCACACATTCTCATCAGCAAAATTGTCCCTCTGGTATACAAGCTCTGCCTACAGGTCACATAAGGGATTAGTAAATCTGCATCTGAGTGCTTTCAGTAAAGGCAGAGAAAGCTCTAGGATCATGTTCCTGCTGTGCAATTGCCCACTGGCCTTTCACTGTTGATTGCTAGCTTAGGTAAAATTTTGTTGTCTGCCATTAATTCCCCAGCATGCTACCGTAATGTGTATACCTCTAGAGCAATTTTCCCCCTTAAATCCATCTTTCTTTTTCAGCACTTCAACAAGTTCCCAGTCTATAATATACATCCCACAGGACATTGTTAGAGCAAAGGAAATTATTGCACAAATCAACACCCTGAAAACTCAAGTCAGCTACTATGCAGAAAGGCTCTCAAGAGCTGCCAAGGACAGATCAGCTAATGGCCTTGAAAGAACACTTGCCATCCTGGCAGATAAGGTAGGAGAAGAATACATCTTCACACTGAAGCACACTTTTTTTTTTTAACCCTTCTTTACCCTTCTTTAGTAAATTTCTTGAAACATTTATTTTACCTTTTCAGTAATGTATTGTAACATGCATAGTCCTAAATAAAAAATGAAAACAGACAAGCTTTTAGAACTTGCCGCATTTTATTTGGGTTTTCTCCTACTCTTCATACTCCTTTGCCTTCACCTCCTCTCGAAAGTGTCCTCTGTTTGCCTCTATTCGCTCGTCCTATTCCAGAAATGAACATTTTTTCATTTTCTTTTATACACTTTTCTCCATAACCACCTTTTTTATATGCCCAAGTTACCTGTTAAGCAGCAGCAATTGATCAAAACTTAAGTGTATCAAACTCTTCTTACTGTTCCACTGGTAAAATAAGGAATAATGGTGACAGCCTTTGCCTGAATTAGTGATGTCAACTGGTTATTTTTTGATAGCTGTTAACAGAAAGCAGACTGAAACCACACCTGAACACAATCTTATTGACAGGGATAAAAACAACTACAGTTTTAGTGATGCCTTCTGTCCCTGAAGCAGATCTGAAGGTTGCACATGGCAGGAACAGCAGTGACAGATCACCTTGCCATAAATTGTTCCAGTTGAAGGGAAATTTATACAGCCTTATAGACCGCAAAAGATAATGTGACCCCATGTAAATGTATTAGTTATAATGTTCACTCTAAATGACTACAGTGTGTATAACTAATCCGTGGGGTTTTCTAAAGCTGGACAAAGTGTGTATATATAAAGCGAAGCTTGTTTTCTTAATAGACAAACAGGCCAGAGTCTTTTCATATTCACATAACTTATAGAAATCTTTTAATATAACATTACTAAATAAGGAAGCAGATTATATTGATTCATGAATTATAACTTTTAGCTTTCCTCTTAAGTCTTAATTGCTGTGATTTGAGACAGGTTGGTGGGGCTTAAGCACGGTCTGTCTGGTGTGGTAACTGTTGTGTGGGCCATAAAAATATCTGCATGGTGTTCTAAACTTTCATCAAATGCAGGGTGAAGTGCAAATAAAAATGTTAAGAATTGCACATTATTGGTGAAATTTTCAGCAACAGCAAGGCTAGTATAGTAGTACAGACTTGGGAAATGTACCCTTTGTGTTTTGGTACCCTATATAGCTTTTTAAGGACATGGTATAAAATGATTTAAAGGCACCTCAGAGACTCCTAAACAGTGGCCTATTTTCTTTTACAGGATACTCTGTGGTGCCTATGTGGGTCCTAAATGTGGTTTATTTATTTATTTATTTATTTCTGTGAAAGAATGTAGTATAAATCATATGCAGAATAATAGAAAGGTGTTAAAATTCGAGGGGTTTATTGCTTTTTAGACGCGGCAACTCGTCACAGTCTGTGACTGCAAATTGTTGGCAAATTCAATACATGGACTGAATGCTGCAAGGCCAGATTATATAGCTTCAAAGGCATCCCCAACCTCTGGAGAAGGGGAACAAGTGATGCTGAGGAATGATCAAGATACACTTGTGGCCAGATGGACAGGAAGAAATAGCCGATCTTCTCTGCAGGTGGATTGGCATGAAGAGGAATGGGTATGTTTGCTCAGTGGAGTGATGAATATTTTTTCCTATTTTTCTTTTATTTTTCTGTGTTCTTTTATTTATAATGTTTGTAACCGCTCACCAGATACACATAGTTTTTTTTTTTGAAATGTATTTTTATGCATCTTACTCATCTACCGGAGGTACTAGTCAACAAGAAAGACATTCTCCATCCTATGTGCACTTACTCCTTGGCATGGAGATATAAACTGGCCTTAATAAATAATTCTTAGTCTCCTAAACATCAGAGATCACTACAATTGGTTCATGTTTTTTTTTAAAGTCAGTTCCAAGGGAAAGTAAACAGCCTTTAAAGTAAACTGACCATACTACAAAGGGCTCTTACACTTCTCCAAAATAAAGCATATTTTGTGTGTGTTAGCTATACAGTTCAGCCTTCCAAACTTTTCCCTGGTTCTACATTCTCATCTAAATATTTAGAACTTGCTGTCCATCTCTGTTTTGATTATGAACAGCTTTGAAAAACTGTTTGCACAAAGAATATAAATGGTTTTCCATACCACACTGCCAATTGAAATGAGACATGGCCTGTGTAAATTCTGTCATTGTGTAATATAAACAGAAGTAAATTAAATCTCACAAATAGTCAAGATAAATTAAAACAATGATTAATATTGTGCAATTCCACTTTAGAAATGAGATCCAATTTGTTTTCGAAATGCATCCTTGTTTGTTTTAATTGTTCTGGCATGCTTTGACTTAGAGTCAGACTCAGAATAATGAGATACTAATAAGGCCAATTCAGTTCATTAGATACTAATACAATACAGTAATTTTATCTGTTGCTCTGATTTATATAGGAAAAAGACATTTGTATAGAATTATTATGTCATCTTTTTGTTCATAGAGTGTTTCTTGCTATTATTTCAATTAACAGTATAGTTGAATAAGTTTTTCTGCAATACAAAATGGGAGATAGTTCTGAATCTTTGTAAGCATTCCAGAAACATTTTAGATAGTTTGACTGTGGTGTTTTTACCCAGCTGGACAGCTGAGCTCTACCACAGCTGCTCTCTTGCTCCCCCTCCTCAAAGGGAAAAGGGGAGAAAATACAATGGAAAAGTCTCAAGAGTTGAGATAAGGACAGGGAGATCACTCAACAGTTATTGTCACAGGCAAAACACAATCCGCATAGGGAGATCAGTATCATTTATTGCCCATTATTTTCAGGCCAGAACAGTGAGAAACTAAAAGCAAGCTACAATATGACCCAGGAGCAAACTACTCCAGCACGGGTCCCCCACGAGTGGCAGTGACCCCCTGCTCCTGCGTGGGCTCCTCTCCACGGGCTGCAGCTCTGGCCCGGGGCCTGCTCCTGCAGGGGCTCTCCATGGGCCGCAGCCTCCTCCAGGCCACATCCACCTGCTCTACCGGGGGCTCCTCCACCCATGGGGGGGCTGCAGCGTGGAGATCTGCTCCATGTGGGACCCATGGGCTGCAGGGGGACAGCCTGCTCCACCCAGGGCCCTCTCCACAGGCCGCAGGGGAACTGCTGCTGCCTGCCTGGAGCACCTCCTGCCCTCCTGCTGCATCGACCTTGGTGCCTGCAGGGCTGCTTCTCACTCCTCACCCTCCCAGCTGCTGTTGTGCAGCAGTTCTTTTTCCCCTTCTTAAATCTGCTCTCACAGAGGTGCAAACAACATTATTCATTGGTTTGGCTCTAGCCTCTGGTCCCTTTGGAGCCAACTGAAACTGGCCCTTATCTAACATGGGGCAGCTGCTGCATTCTTCTCACAGAAGCCACTTCTGCAGCCCCCCTGCTACCAAAACCATGCCACATAAACCCAACACATATTTGTACATATTATATCTTTTTATTCCTTCATCCCATAGAATCATAGAATGGGGCATGGGTCAGAAAAGACCTCAAAGATCATCTAGTTCCACCCTCCTGCCATGAGCAGGGATGCCACCCACTAGATCAGGATGCCCAGTCTCAGTTCCTTTCAACAGCCTGTATAAAAGTAGCATTTACATTTGCAGAAATAACCACTTTAAAACATAGAGCAGACACACCCACTTTATCTGACTTAACAGGGATATTCCCATTCTTCAACCAAATTTCTAAAATGATTTTAAAATATTTTCTGCATTTATCTAGCTTTTGGGCTCATCCATGTTTATAAGGGAATGCCAGTTGTTGTTTTTTTTCTATCTTACTGTAGCTTTGAAAGGAATGGAGTACGTCAGCTTCTGCTAGCCTTTTGAAGGGAGGAAAGGCTGTCACTGAATTTTAATTGCTCTGGGCCTTACGGAAATACAACTTTAAAGGAGAAATGTAAACATTTGTCAGCAAAAGTGATTAGGCATTTCCTAGTCAAACATTAGAGTCTAAAGAATAAACAATAGTGCCAACTGGAAACGCGAATAAATGGTGAAGGAAGAGGCACTTAAAATTGTTCAGCTAATTTACTTTGAAAATAGTTTTGCAATTTACCACTCATTGATTTTACTACATGTTGCTGACTTGCTCGCATATACTATTTACATATACAGAGCTTTTGTGTGCACAAATGTAAACATGATAGCCCAGAGGAAACTTTGTAGAGGAATTGGGACTGAAATCATTGGAGGAAATATATTGCCAAGGGATTTGTTACCTAATGTCTCTTCTTTTTAAATTGAGAAAGGAATGTTTTCTTTTAAGGAGAAAGTTTGGTTGAATGTTGACAAAAGTCTGGAGTGTATTATACAGAGAGTGGACAAACTTCTCCAGAAAGAGCGCTTGCAAAGTGACAGCTGTGAAGATGTTTTCCAGTGCGACATCAGCTGTACTAGTAAGAAAGGTAATCGTGACACTCGTGCCTACTGGATAAATCCAGAAGATTTAAATGAGAGCTCATCATCCTCACCACCACCATCATCATCCTCACCACCACCATCATCATCCTCACCACCACCATCATCCACACCATCCTGTGCATGCCATTCTCTCACAAAGACAAGTGCGTATGCCAGACACTGCTTCTCACTGCTGCTCTCTCGCTGTGCGCTGGCATCGTTCCTACGCCTCTGTTACATCCTTCCATGTGTTTTTAGTTCGGTGGTGTTGTTAGGCACTGACATCAGGCAGAGAGGGCTGGCGGCGTACTGTGGAGCTGCTAAGCCCGTAACTTGCTTTGAAATTGTGATCCCACTGAAATCATCGCTAAATCTCCTACTGATGACAGTGACATTTGGGTGTCTTAAAGCTAGTAAAGCAGAGGTTTGGGTTAGCATCTGTAGCTTCCCTCTTGGCTTCAGCTTCTTTGCCGCAATCCAAGCTTAAAATGGTGAACCTCTATAAAAGATTGAGGAAAACATGATGAGAAGTGCAAATACTACTGCAGCATGAATCGTCCCAACAGCCAAAGTGTAGGAGGGGAGCCAAGTAGTCCCATTTAGGACTGAACTCAACTTGCATGAACCTACTGGAGTTTAATCCAAATTATCAAAAGCTGTAGCACTGAAGGACTCTATTAAGTTAGACTTTATGTAGCTGGAAAGTAAGAATTGACAGTGCAAGTTCTCAGTAGAATAATCCTAACAAAAACTGAGGTAAAGTGTATGCTATATTGAAAGAAGTTGCATATTACCATGAACATGCGAATGAGAGAGACATGTACCAGTTTAAGGCAGCCTTGCATTAAATTTCAAAATTATTTCATTCATATATGTACTTCTTTGACTTCCTCTCACGTTCATTACATGTGGTCACTATGATATGACCACTTAATAGAGCAGGTATGCCAAATTAAGCTCTAGCAAGATTGGTTTGTGTTTTCATTTCCTTCTGTTTTGTCTTACGTTTGATGGCCCTTTGTCCCTCAGTGTCTGTCTGTGACTTCACGTCCATTCCATTGGTAATGTTGCAGAAAAGTTAGAAGGCAATACCTTTAAGAAAAAGAAAACAAGAAGAAAGTTAAAATAAATGTTTAAGTATCTTTGTAAAGCTCTTGTTACATGTTAATGTATGTTTTGCTTAGTATTTTAAATGACCATATTTTTCTAGATTAGTCTGACATTTTTGTGTATTATAAAGGAGAGCATAATAGGAGAGTTGGCTCTTGTTTCAGAACTGTGTTCTCTATTAATCTTTGACTAAGTTTGCTCTAGCAGTTTGATACCTTTGAATGCTTTTATTTGCTGGCTAGTTTATATGAAGTTTTGTATGTATTTCTATGAAAGTTTTATCGGTACCTTATGTCAATGATTACCACTTTTTCATTGTTAATATTAAAAAAAAAAAAGAAGGAAATATCTGTTGTGGGATGATATCAGAAGCTTTTCCCAAGTCAATTCTATGTTGAAAGCAGAATAATTATTTTCTGTCCATTTACTCAACATTTACAGTCAGTCTTACAGTCTATTCAGGATCTTGACACCTATGCAATATAAAAGTGGAATTGGCTGCATTTACCTACCAAAGGTTTCAGTTGTGCCAAAAGTTTCTGTAACTTTTCCCTTCTGTGCCTCCAAAATGGGGGAAAAAATCTTCCCATTTAATCCTACAGAACCTGGGAAAGGCAAATTAAGTCAAAAAGCTGCATCAGACTTTAAAGCTAAGGGGCTTGGTGCTGTTTCCTAGTGCTACCAAAGCATAAGGGCTAAACCTGAAGTCTGAATGTTGAGTGAATGTAAAAAATCCTGGAGAGGGAATCCTGTTTCTTAGATACCTGGTCTTAATGAGGAATTCAAATTGCAAATGGGAAGTTTACTGTAAGGCCAGAGTGAGCCAAGTTCTCGATCACATCCTCATCAGATTTTGTTCCTAGTCAATAGTCAGTATTTCTGACAGAGGAACAGGTTCCTATGAAATAAATAAATAAATAAATAAAGTTTTGCATTGACTCCACACCAAACCTGGCCTCTAATTCCCTTTCTGTGTCACTTTCCACAACTGATCACAGGAAAAGTTGAGAGACAAAGAAGATCCTTTCTCTAAGTTTAGAATCAGAAAAATTTAAAGCTTTTCCTTCTCATACATGTTAAAGAACTATCACTTTTTTGTTAGCAGTTCTGAGTTTTGAATAAATGACACTGAGCAGATAGCAGCCAGAATTTATTTTTTTAAACAATGTAAAAAACAGTAAATCAAGATAGAACTGATAGAGACCAGGATGTTATTGTAATACTCTAGATCATCTCTCTATAAATGGATGATTGTAAGAGAAAATACTGCCTGAAATAGTAGAAAGAAGAGTTAAGGGATTTTGTTTGTTTTGTTTGCATATTTTTCTTAATTTATTTTTTTATTTAGAGATATAGGTATTCATTACTTAAATTGCATGGGATCAGATAGCATCTTTAATGAATATAATTTTTAATTTACTGAGAGGTTATCCCAAATTGTATAGGTCAGCTGATTGCCCCTAATGCATACAACTGAATGTGATATATCTGTTGGTATTTTGGAATTTATAATTCATTGGGTAGTGAATCTAGATATAAACGGGAAGTTTAAATCTTGCCAGTTTAATAATCTACTTCTTGTGAATGCAGGGATATGCAGGGTATATATTACCCTTTTACTGTTTGCATTGCACTGTAGTGTTTTTTTTTTTACCTGAGAGCCTGTTCTTCCCACTGAAGTGAGTGTGACACACTCACAGGCTTCACTGGTGAGGTTTCAGCCCTCAATATACAATCCTAATTCTTGTGTTACCTTTCTTAGAAATCGTATAACAGAGATGTATCTCAAATAGCATGGTAACAATTCTCTATTACTCTTGCAGTGTGGGTGCCTTAATGCCTTTTTCTGTTAAGTGCATTGAATTTACTGCTAGTCTTTTGCTCTTCTGTTTAGCAGCCTTTCAGCCAGCTTATTTTGTAATTGCACTAGACCAGTGGTTCTCAAATTGTGCCCTGTGGATCTCTGGGGATTGGCAGTGCACTCACTGTTAATCCACAGAGAGCTCCTGAGCTAGCAGGTACTGGCTTCCCTCCGAGTCCCCATCCTCGGGTCTCTCTGAGCAGAAACAGTGGAGTGGAGGAGGCAGCCCGTGCCCTCGGGGCCCACAGGTATCTGCTGAGCTCCTGTTCACCCAGTGAAAGTGTTTGAGAACCCTGGCGTTGAGCATTTGAGTTGCTTATGTTGAGACTGTGTTGCTGCTCCTTAATCATGCATGTTGCCCCTCCATTTCTGTGCAGATTGCAGCCCCGCTCCGGAAGAATCTGGCCCAGGTATGTGCGTTCATGGCTTCTGCTTCTTCTGAAAATTGCAAGTTTTTGTTCATAATTTACAACTGAACAACTGCCTTGCTGTTAAGAATGACCATTTTCAAACGGTAATGCTCTGCAATATCACACGACCTACCTAAAGATATTGAGAAGATGATTATTTACTCATATAACAGTGCAAGCAGGTAACTTCTCAAGTGTGGGAGAACACTTGTTAATGGTCACTTTGGTTTCTCCAGTTGACATGTTTTAGCGAACTAATGTGGGTGACAATGATTTTCTAAACTGTCACTGAAGTCCATGAGGGTCTGATCTTAAGGATCTTTCAGACACGTCCTTTCACATGTGCTGTTGAGCTTGCCTTTCTGAATGAGAACTCGAGCAGAACATGGAGCAGTCAAGAAGAGTGATGGTACAAACCTATCTGTATCAGACACTGCAAATCTAATGTTTCAGAATACAAAATTTAGAAGACTTTCCTCATGCTGTTAGCCTCTCATTGTGCTTCTGCACACTGGTTTTACAGTTACAAGGTCTCCCAGCTGTATGGCTGTAATTTCTCCCATTTCAGAGAGGCTTAATTTGAGTTCAGTGAAGGCTCAGTCTTCGAACTGTTACAGTGTGGACTCCTGGGTTTAGTGAAACCCATGGGAAATAAAGCAGCCTGTGCAGGCTGTGATTTTCATCCTCAGAGAGCCTATAATGAATAAAACTCATTATGCACTAACTTTTAGTTCTTGGAACATCCTTTTAGTTTTCACAAAATAGGAATGTGGTACATAAATGAATACAGAGTTATTTTTAAGATTAAAAGGGCTCAGGTTACCCCAGCTGGGTACCCAGATGTACCCAAAACTGCACCTTAAACATAAGTGGCTGAGGCTGCAGTGCAGTGAAGCACTTAATGCTTGCTTCCCTCTGAAGTCAAATGTGACATGACTGTGCTCAAGTGAGTTGTCAATTACTCTTTACCAGGTTAGGGCTAATCAATTCATTAAATGAGTCAGCAATGTATTACATAAATATTTCACTATTCTTTGTATAGGTGAGTCCTTGCAAGCCTGACCTAAATCTAAGGGTAACTGCAGGTTCCCAGTACTTTGATTTAGAGATGATGGTTGTTTGTTGTTTTTAATATGAAAAGACTCAAGATATCTTTTCAAGGCTCTGGAGGCCAGTTATTTTAATAACATTGCTGTTGTTCTGGGGAAGAGAGACTGTTAGGGATGGGAGAAAGCAAAAACTTTTCTCACCTGCTTTAGATATTTGCTTTATACAGACTTACATGTTAGGATTTCTTATCACATCGACATTACTTATCCCTTACCTTTGGGCAGTGTATAGTCAGAGAATATAACGCCACATTTCAAAGCGTACATGGAGGTATGATTTCTATCAGCAGTGGTCATAAGAAAAACAGCAAAGATTTACAGGGTCACATCTGGCCCTTATTTACTGGGCAGAATTTAGTTATAGCTGCCTGAGTGGAGACTGCAAGATTTCTCTTTAATGTACAGTATAAAACACCTGAAGTAAATGACAGGCTTCCTTTCAGATTGCATATTGCCAGTTTTGAGACAAAATAACTTTTAGCATAAAGTAGAAACTTCTGATTAAGAAGTGGGGTTTTGTTCAGGAGATATCAACAGTGAGCTTGGGTTAGATCTCTGTCTGTTTTAAATCTATTACAGCTTGTTGAATCTTCATCGTTTCAGGCCCTTTGCCAAATCGTTTTACGTATGGATCCGCACAAGCGAGTGTATAAATAGTTTTAAAATGGCCTGACCATCTCACAGAACATAAGAGAAGGTCTCAGAATGGATTTCACATTAGAATTAGTGCCTCATGGTGTTTAAAGGTGCCATTGATTGATTGGATAGAAAATGTTCTTTCAATAACAAAAGTTTTGTGAGGTGAATTATGAGCAGTAGACTGAAGAAAGTTGGAAAAATCCAAGTGAGCACTTACAGTCCTTTCAAATTTATTTAAATGCTGTCAATGAAATATTTCAACCTGATTTGAGGCTGTGAGTATAATTCTTTCTATTCTTGTTTACTGTTCATGGCAGCTACCATTGACCAATTAAAAGCCACACGTGACACCTCTGTGAAGCAGTGTTTAGAATTTTGTAGACTGATGAGGACTTATTTTTTTCATGGCCAATATCTGAAACCAGGAAATGGATGATTTCTGCTCATTCCCTTAGATGAGCACATTGCATGTGAGTGCTGGGAGAAGAAAACATCTAAAGATGGCTTTCTCTTCAGGCATGCAGTATACCACCAGTATACTTTGAGATTACCACAGATAAACTTGTCTTTCGAATGAAGTGCTGCCAGGCATGCTACAATTTTAAATCTCCACTGAGTTAATAACTACATGCATGCATGTATATCCAGGCAATGAAATGATGATGTGCTAGATGATCTTTTCAGTTCCTTCTGTAAGTCTTACACATATATACAAATGCCTATTAACTGTAGGAAGACAAATGCTCTATTAGTATCATCTGTACTTTGCTTTATAATTATTTACAGGCCAATGTTACGGTGTCTGTTTTATTTTGAGAGAAGAACTATTAATAGAATAGAAAAGCTCTAATTCCTTACCTGCTCTTTTGATGTTTCCTGCTTTCTTTGTGGCAGTGGAGCAGAGCCAAATAACTTCCCCTTTGTGTAGTATGTAGGCATTGCTATGCAGTTCATCTACCACATAACAAAAGGGATAGTTCTGTTAATCTTGTCAGTTATGTTTTTGTTGGCCAGTTTCCAAAGTTCCCTTTGTGGCTGGTTATCAAAAAAAATATATATATGCATGTGTATATATATATTACTAGCTCTTAGTCCAGTTGTTGAGTCAAAATCACAAATAACTTCCTTTCAGGGGCTTGAACTGACTCCATTTATGAAGGTTTTGATCTGTACATGGCCTTGTTTGTATGTTTGTACAACCTACCAGGCTGGGGTCACACATCTGCTGTTTGTGGTGCTTTAAAATATAAAACACAGTGTCCTTTGCTTTCAAAAGAGACGTGTTCTTCTCTTTCAATGTTCTTTACAGTAAAAAGAGAAAATTTTCCATTCTATTTTCTTTTTGTATTGCAGAGAGAATGGATTTTGATATGTTATCTGAGTAATTCATGGAAGTAGGTTTTTAAAATTCGAAGTTGATTGAGACAAAAGATGAAAGAAGGAAAGAAAAGAAACTGAGCCTCTTGGATATTTTAAGGCAGAGCAGTCCCTTCAGGGAGAATGAATGGCACAGTGTTTGGGGTACTAAAATAAGACCTTGGCAACCCAATTTCATTTCTTTGCTTCCTGTGTAGGACCTTGAGCAGAGTCACTCTGGGACGTATTTCATGTGTTTCAGTGCAAGTCGAGCTCATAAATACTTCAGGGATCTGGCTAGCTCCCATCTAAGTTACTGTTCTTGGCATTTCTTGCTAGCTAGTTGTAGGCCTTCGAAGCCTCCCAACAGACAGGGCATAGGTAAAAGAGTACCTACACAAGTTTTCCCCTCTTTACTTTATTACTCCTTTGCTGCAAAGTGAGAGAAGCATTGTCTTACCTGACTGAAGATAAATATCGATAAAATGGTGAGGCAATTGATTGATACACCTGAGTCCACAAAAGGTTCAAAGGCAGAAATATCTGGTAGAAGTCTCATTCTTAGAAATGGCCAAGCAGATGTCCACTGTATCTGTTATGCGATGGGCTCCATGCTGTCTGTCAATGAATGCACTGTGAAAGGGTGTGTATGAACTTGTACACACAGCTATATATGCTTGTAGTGTATAGATATTCGTCTTTCTGTTATGCTTTCCAAATCAGCTATTGTATGGCCCGTTCTGTGGGCACAAATCTGGGAGCTATTACATGGCCGGGAAAGTCATAACAGCCTTGGAGAGTGAAATTCTCCATGTTTTCCCTGTGCAATATCCACTCTGTAAGATTAATTATTAACAATCAGGGAGTAGCCAGCCAGCCAAAATAAAATGAGCGCCACATGTGGATTATCAACAACTTTTACTTGCAATGGGAAGTTTCTTCTTAATGTATGTGTTGTGTTTTTTTTCCGTTTGTTTCAAGTAAAGTACTTACAGTGCTGTTAATTTTTTTCTTTCAACCAGGTGAATGGAGCGAAGCTCTTTATCCCTTGCTGACAACACTCACAGACTGCGTGGCCATGATGAGTGACAAGGCAAAGAAAGCCATGGTCTTTTTATTAATGCAGGACAGTGCTCCAACAATAGGGCTCTGCCTGAGTCTTCAGTATCGCAGGGATGTTGTCTTCTGCCAAACTGTAAGCCAGCGAATTTGCAGGATTTGATTACACTAGGACATGTGCTGGGTTTTTATGAAATATGAAAGATGGGTATTTTCGGAATTTTTCAGATCTGTTCTTAATGCTGTGATCTCCTCTCACAGACTGTACTATCCCCTCCTTATTTGTCACTTACGTGCATTTGGCAATATAAAACTTAAATGTTCCCTGGGATATATATTCCCAATTTCAAAACAGATTGTGACAGAAATACTGAAAATTCTCCTGTGTACAGAAACAACCTTTGTCATCCAGTGCCACTAAACTAAAACCAAAAGTAAGATGCGAAAGAGCTTTAAAAAAAATCCCATGAACTGCAAGTACTCCTTTGCTTACTTTCTGTTGTTTTCAGCATCAAGAAAACCAGTAGGAGCAGCAGTACTTAAGGAGGAGAGAAGTGGGGAGGAATGAGTGCTGAGGTTTCTCTAAAAGTTCTGTTTCTGGGCCTACTGGGGTCTCTTCTGTGTCAGTCATTGACTAGCAGATGTCTGTAATAAAAAACCTTCCACACCTCATCTGCCCACTACACTTCTGCAGTGTGTCTACTCCCTGTGAGATTAATATCTCCTTCATTTATTTCAAACAGCCTATCTCTTGGACATTGTTTGGTAGGGTTGTTGTTGGCCCAAAATATAATATCTCGTAGAGATAAGTTCAGAGAATCTTCCTATACAAAGCCCACTTCATAACACAGCTATTTTTTTTAACTCAATGCTTTGAATACGATTACTCATCATAAATATAACTTTAGTCACTTCTGTTTAATTCTGGAAGTCATATATATGTGTACATCACATCTGGCAGTCACTGTGGAAATTCCTTTTTTAACAGAGAGAGTGAATTAAAAAGAGTACTGGTTTTAGATCTTAGTACTAGATCAGTCCAAGGGCCTTGTGTAGAATATCTCATAACACTACAGAGTTTGAATCTTCGCATAATGCGAACAGACATCACATTTTTAAGCTTTCTTAAAATATCATTTTAAAAAATCATTTATTCATGCTTTCAATATTTGTGGCTTCGAGCTGGTAGTATTGCTTTTCCATCTGTAACTAAAGCAATTCTCCAAGGAGACTCATTTGTAATTCATAAGTTGTAGATTCCAATGCAAGTGGTCGTGTCAAGAAAACAAATAGCAGCAAGTCCACCTTGGGAGAGCTTGCGAGACGAAGGCGGTGTGCCCTAAATCAGTTTTTATGAGTGTTTTGATTTTTGTTGATTGGCTGTCTCTCTTTAGCTGCAAAGAGTGTCATTTAAGGTAAAAGAGCATCAGTCTGACAGATTTTATGGCACCTCTTTCTTATGTGCAGTGTTGTTTCCATTTGGGGCTGAAGAGCCTTTTTTGTCTTTGTTTTCTCTCCCACAGCTGACAGCTCTCATTTGTGGATTCATTATCAAGCTGAGGAACTGTCTGCATGATGATGGATTTCTAAGACAACTCTACACCATTGGCTTGCTGGCGCAGTTTGAGAGCCTGCTGAGCACTTATGGTAAAGGCACAGGGCAAATGGGAGATAGCAGCTGTTGAGTCAGCAAATTCTGCTTTAAATTGGCTACAGCAGAACATGAGTGGTTGGTACAATCTGCAGCTCAGCTACACAATGGTTTTGAAAATTGAAATGCAAACCCAGATTATGTATGGGGTATGTAATTTGCTAACAACTCTGAATTCTTCACTTTTAATTGAATTACTTCTAAAAAACAAAATGAACTTGCCTTATGACATACTAAGGCCAACACTTAAAAAAATCATTTTGATTATTTTTAAAACAAAGAAATGGAGCAAAATTCCAGTAAGCTGGGATAAACTGTGCACAAAATATGCTTTTTGGATATTCTTTGTAATTTTTCTTTGTAATTTTCTCTTGTAATCCTACAGTACAATGTGAAGTTGAAGAGAGAATACAAAAAGGGAAAGTACTTCACGAGTACTGTTCTTGTGTCAGAATAGCCATCTGGATTCTAGTTAGGGAATACTTTACTGAACAAATCTGGAATACCTTGTAAGGTACTGCAGTACAGTGTGCCAAAAACAGATTTCCAACACAAAGGATGGCATGTCTGTGACAATGCAGGGAAGATCTTACTAGCTTTGTCTAAATAAGAAAATTAGTGTGCAGTCTACATGAAGGACGGTAGCCTGGACTGTGCTAAATAACTGGTGTTTTCTAACCTTGGTAGACTCATAAAGTCAATCATGCCATCATCTGCAGTCTGTAGACCACAGTGAAGGCGTGGATTCCCTAGCTTCTTCATCCACAGAATTCATGAGATCTGTGACCTATAGCCTTGATCAAATCGATAAAGGGAAAGTACGTAACAACTAGTGATTACAATTCACTTTTTCCTCCTTGATTTAGGTGAGGAGCTGGCAATGCTGGAGGACATGAGTTTGGGAATCATGGACTTGAGGAATGTAACCTTTAAAGTAACTCAGGCAACATCAAGTACATCTACTGACATGCTGCCAGTCATCACTGGAAATCGGTAAGAAAAAATGGGGATGGCAGAAAGTGGGGTGGGACTGCAGAAGGGCAAAGTGCTGATACTACGCTTGAAATTCAAATGAATAAGAAGCTTAGAAACCAAGAAACCATGCTGTTTTTTTTTTCTTTTTTTTTCTTTTTTTTTCCCTCAAAACTTAGAGAAATGTTATGAAGCAGATTTACCATCTTAAGCACTTGTGCTGTTGTAGGTTTCAGACTGACTTTTGAGGCTGATCTCGTCTGAAATTCACTGGTGTTGATAAGTTATTCAGTGCTTTACTGGATGCCATTGACTAACGGGTCACTGTTAGCACAGTAGGGCATGAAATGTGTGTCAGGCAGTTGATGGGCTGCTGTTGAGGCCTTCTTAGGGTCAGTTTCTAAACTATCATGGCCAAAGTGGATTTAACATATAGATGCTTGTGAAACACTAGACTGCTTCTCGTTTTGGCCACTTGTCTAAAAAGAGCTATTTTCAAGTTTGAGCTTGAAAGCATTTTTTTTATATATATAAAAAAAAAAGTCTCTCTCAAGTAACAAACATCCACATCCTTTTGTAGCCTGAGAGTGATCTGCTGCAGCTTTATTGTGACGGGAAGCTTTTACAACAGTCTCGCTTCCATCAGGCTGCTCAGCCTGCTTATCAGCTGCCCTCACACTGGCTTCTGAGGTGATGCTGATGGGGGCCTGCAGGAGAGCTCTTGCCCAGAGGAAGCCAGTTCACAGATAGGAATGAATGGATGTGAGGACAGTTGCCTCACGGAAAGTGGTGTTTTAATATTTCTGTGTTTTAGGGTCTTTAGAGTCTTTTAGTTTTGAATCTGATTTCTGGGGGAAATAAGGCTTACTCGATTACAGTTTGGTGTGATGAGCTCCACTGAAGCTCTGCCCAGCTTCACCCACATATGAAAAACAGCTAGAATTCTCTAAGATAAGGACTTTAAGAGAAACTTAATTAGTTTAGGTTAACATGCAATGAAAAGTGCACTAGCTGAAGGAGGACTGTAGTGCAATCATAACAGAAATTGCTGAGACCTTTGGGAATGGCAGTTGACATTAAAATCCTGTTCCAAGAAGATTTTTAGTTACAACTTGCTGTCAGACATAGGACACAAATCAGTAGGAAACTAGTCTCCACTAGATTCAGGCCTTGCTTATTATTTTGCTTTAGAGATTTTATCATAGGAAGAGAATAAAAAAATGTGCTTATTTATTTTGGTGCAAACTATTGGAAGCTTTACAGTAAGAGGTGAAAATAGGCTTTTTGCTTTCAAACACACCCCAGGATTTGTACCTCCATCCAACATAAATGTGGGACAGGGCAATTCTGATTACCTTGTATACTTCCCAGAGCTCTTCTGCTATACTTGAAAGTTTACTGCTGCACTTGAGAGTGCTGCTGACAGCGTCTTGTGAGCAGATAAATGATCATAGGAATGCTTGCACTGTAAGGACTTGGACTGCATGCTGTTAGGGTAGTGCACAGCACTCAAATCACAGTAACTTTTGTCCTTGCAATCCCTCAGCCTATAGCAGATGGAAAGTAATGTGACTTACCTTAGTCTGCTCTTATGTTATGTGTAAAGGTAAGTTGCAGTACCTCACATTTACCAGGAGATGAAGCATACAGCAGTGCTCTTCGCTGTAGCTCAGTAGATCCAAGGTAACCTAGTGTGTAGCAAGAACAGGCTTCTAGGTCTGAATCACAAGGTTCCACATCAGGGCTTTTGTTAGCTCCCCCTTCAACTTATACTCAGGTCACTCCTATCATTGTCTCTGTCCTTCAGCTAAGAAATGTCAGCACTACTTACCATATCCAAAAATGTATCCTTCTTTGCACGAGCATCACCAGCCTCTATCACTTTAAAATCAAATACACTTTACTCTTGATGAGACAGAGACAAGACAAAAATTGACTTTTTTAATCAAACTTGTATGAGATCTGCAGTATTAATGAGAAGAGCAAAATCAGCTTTTGTCAATTTGAGCTAGAATAGCTTGTCTGACTAGGAGCAAGCTGTAGCAGTTCTTTTAAGTCCTCAGCTTTGACCGATTCTTATTTTTTTAATAATTGGATTACATTCTGGATGTTAGCCCATTCTCAGAATGTTGCTTTTTGATCTGTATGTCTAATATCTGTTTCTTTATCCACAGTGATGGATTTAACGTGAGGATCCCTTTGCCAAGCGCCTTGTTTGATTTACTGCCGCGAGAGATTCAAAGTGGCATGTTACTGAGGGTTCAGCCTGTTCTTTTCAACGTGGGGATCAATGAGCAGCAAACCCTAGCAGAGAAGTAGGTATTCATTCATGCAAGCTTGCCCTTAATGGCAGTTCACCATTCTCTTCTGATGGTAGTATCTCTCTATCTCTCTGTGGCATTATACTGTTGCATTATTAACAGCAATTTGGTTTTCTCCTCCAATACAAAAACAAGGGAACATTACATAAATGAAGCTGGAAAATTTGAAATAAACAAAAGGAGATACTTCACATGACACTAGGCCATGGAGCTCCTTACCTCATGGGTTTGTGTCTAGTACAAGTTCAGAAGTGGGTTTACAGAAGAGGAGATGTATCATGGGCTGTTTAACACAGACGTGCTGCTTGTTACCTGAAACCTCTGTGAACAGTGAATCACTAGAGGCTGAGATTATTCTGAGTATCATTGTGTATTTACCCTTGTGCTTTTGCATTCTTCTTTAGACTTCCTCTTCTGGAGGAAAACTGTCAAAAAAACAGGATATTGGGCTAGATGGACCTCTGTTTTAATGCATTGTTGCAGGTTTTACATAATGCAGCACCACTCTAGTAAAGCTGAACAATGTAATTACTGTAACAGTTTTTGTAAGGGAAACTTCAGTTCTGGAATAGCCACCAGAGCTTCCCTTTGTTATGGCCATATCTGTAAGGAGTACATTGACAGATCCTGCTTTAATGGAGAACTGGGTGAAGTCAGGCACAGGCATATTGTATCAGCAGGAGTGTGCATGGCAAATAGAAAAATCTAACTATGGCATTCCAGCAGTTGCTTTTGCCTGCAAAGGGAGCTTGAGATGACTAGTGTAGTTGTAGATTTCAACACCATGTGCATGCTTATATGTATGTGTGTATAAATGTATGTACATATACATTCATATATATATATACATAGTCAGGTGAGCTGAATCACAGTATTGATGACTATTTATTACATTCACATTTTATCACTCTTGGATCCATACTTCTCATTCACATGACTGAAATCGAAGTTCTTAAGCATGTCTCCTGATGCCATGGTTATTATTAGTTTATGAACTAAACTGGTAGATCAAAATTCAAAGTTGAATTTGGCAAAATGATTTACCAGATGGGCATGTAATATTGAAGAGAGAAATACAAAACCCAAAGTGTTTTAAGTATTGTTTTCTACAAGGCTTTTTCTTTCTGCCTTCCTTCCCACACTTCCCCTCACACTCAAGTATTTTCTTTTTCTGGAGTGAATCTCTGCAACTCCTTTCTTTTATGCTTTACTTTGCATTTGAATGTTCAGGAATTTGGGGAGATGAATCTTTGAACTGTTTTCTTATAGTTGTATTGCCAAGTGAAGTTCTTTTGAAGAAAAGGAGAAGGATTACTATATGTTTAACTGTTCCCTTCTTCACCTTTTAAAGGTTTGGAGACACCTCACTGCAAGAAGTAATTAACATGGAAAGCTTAGTGCGGTTGAATTCGTATTTTGAGCAGTTCAAGGAAGTTTTGCCTGATGATTGTAAGTATTGAATAATTAACAGCAAATCTGGTTCAACAGCAGTTCAGGCTGATGTTCTTGTTTGCTTGCTTCAAGTTAGGTGCTTATACATTGATGATAGGGCCGGTGTCAGTAACCTCCAAGAAGAGATGCGACTCTAATTTAATACATTAGTACTAAGTAGAGTAGATTCAAGTGTTTTGAAGTTCAGTCTGATTAACTTTTTAAAATTTACTTTGGCATCTAAGTGGCATTACGTATTGTATAAACACAGCTAGGCAGTAAGAGGTGAAGGCAAAAACATGACAGGTCATAGCAGCAGCACTTCTGTGTGCAGTTTTTGGTCATTTTCTGTTGATGACCTGTACAGAGAGCAACTGACATTTTGGGGAACTCCTTAATCACTTTCCCTCTGCATATTATTTGGCACTTGAATGAAATTGTTGTATCTGCAGCCAACAACAGAGAGGTCTAGAACCTGAAAGACAGACAGTAGCTACAAGCTTGAACTTGCTTCTTGTATGTCCTGCTTGCTACTGTATTTTGAGAAGGCAGTGGAATAAGCTGCCCCCAGAAATGGTGAGAATTCATTGCTTTGTTATCAGTAGTACCAAACATCCTGTAAGCTAATTTCATGGGTTCCACAACCACAGTTTATTGCAGAAATAGAATATTTTGATGCAGATGAGCGCTCCCTCTTTCCAGTTGTTCACAATTGCGCATAATAATTTCTCTGAAATTCAGTTGCAAAATTTTAAACTGTGTTTTACTCTATGGTACTCTAGCATCAGATTTTCTTGTAAACTTCAGAAGTTAATCAGTTAACATTGATTTTTGTTCCACTTTTTTCGCCATTCCTTCCTGTTTCTGTCCATAGTCTTTCTTAACATACTTCTCAGTCAGTTCCTTCCTCTACTTTTTGGTTTAGCTTGCTTTTTTTTTTTTTTTTTTTTACTACAGTCCCTTTCCTGATTCTCAAACCTCTTATGTTGGCATGAGAGTATGTTTGGTATCTCCTCTGTGGTGATATTTGGGTTGTACGTAGTGAAACATGCTTTTCCATGAACCCTTGTCAATAGAAAATAATGTTTTCTTTAACTGGAAGACAGGTGTTTATTATGACCAGCCTGTGTAAGTTTGGGTAAATAAACAACAACAAAAACAGATCATTCTAGGGGACAAGAGAAGTATCTGCTGGCAGCTTGTGGAAAATGTTCCCTTCAAGAACAATGCTTAAGGAAAGCTGATGCCTGCTCCACTGTCCTTTTTCTGAAAAATGTGTGCAATGAGTTCTGAGCACTGCAGAGTTTCCAACAAGCTAGCTACTGCCATAGTTGCTCCATTAGATCTCCTTGTCTTTAGACATACCCAGAGAGATGGTCTGTGCCATCTGTGATGATCTTTTTGATCACAAATATTTCTTCCCAGGTATATAGTTTACATAGAGCAGGCCAGGACAGGCACAATATTAGCTTACATACTATATGAGATGAGAAAAGATGTTTCCCAAACTAAAACCTCATATACTACCTATGCAGAGACTTTTTAACACAGTCATTTTTTAACAGTGCATACCACCTCATTTATCCAGTCACAGCTTTAGTTGGTGTCCTCTGTAGATAACCCTCAAAAAAAAGAAAAAGACCTATTTAATACTTATTGTTGGTTGTGAGAGACAATGAGTAGCACTTTGAGCATGTAGGCATGAGATGGCTGTTGAAAACACTCTGACATACTGAAAAATGTCAATAGCTTTATTTTCACTTACTGAAATATTAATAAATCAATTTTGGCAGTGTAGTGTCCTGTTGGAGTGTGTGTTTCTTGTAACCGAAAACTGCCTAGGCTGCAAATTGAGTATGTGAGCTGAATATAAGCTGATACCTTCAGAGTTTCTGTGGAGATATAGATGTTATCCTAACACCTCTGAGAGGGGATAATACAGACAGTTACATGTTTATGCACAGTTCTGAGCAGTATGTCAAAGCAAGTATGTCCAGGACACACCAAACAAGACACTATACCAATCTTTCTCCCTTTTTACCCCTCTATTACTATATTGCCATCACTATTCTGAATCCCTGAAATTTTAAATAACCTGAATGCATATTTCCAATAGAGTTTAATTGAACTTGAATTTGGTTTGTTAGTGTTACTAAGTAATTAAGAATTGGGTTAGTTTTAAGCTCTGATAGCTTCAAGAAAACATAGCTGCCTTTCCAATGAACATATAGGAACACTTCTTGTTTAACTGATCTTTCTAAAAGTGTTGAATACAGATAAATAAGTAAAGTTGGTGTTGTTTCTATTATAGGTCTACCTCGATCTCGTAGTCAGACGTGCCTGCCTGAACTGTTAAGATTTCTGGGACAAAATGTACATGCAAGGAAAAATAAGAATGTTGATATCCTTTGGCAAGCTGCTGAGGTATTTATTAGTCTAAGCATTTTTGTATAGTTCAGTTGATTTTTTGTATATGTGTGTATTTTCCCCTTTTTTACTGGTATGTTCAGATTTCATCATTTGCATGCACGTTGCTTGGAAATGCTGCCATGCTCCCCTGACTATGGGGAGATAAAGAAAATGTTTTTTATTTTCACATCAGTATCTTCCCTACAACACATGCAACAAAGTACTGCTGTACCAAAGTTGACAACTTTTGACATCACAGTCCTACAAATGATTTGTATCTCTAAGGCGGAGAAATACGGGTGTGTTCTCTGATGGAAGGTTATACACGAGGAAGGAATGATGAATTTCATATCTCGTTTCTAGATATGCCGCAGACTAAATGGTGTTCGGTTTACAAGCTGTAAAAGTGCCAAGGATAGGACTGCCATGTCGGTCACCCTGGAGCAGTGTCTGATCCTACAGCATGAACATGGAATGGCCCCACAGGTCTTCACCCAGGCTCTGGAGTGTATGAGGAGGTAAGAGATTGACTGTGTCCCTTATTCCTAAATGAGGAACCATGCAAACTGCAGAGGAGCAGTGGTGTCTGTTTCTATCAAAAGAAACAAAAAGAAAAATAAAGCTAGAAAACTGCAAAGCTGGCTGCTAGGATTCATCCCTCACTTGCATGTATTAGTGTGTTTTATATGGTAAAGTTGGTGGTTACCAGATCTGCATCAGATGGGTTTTAGTTTTCAGTAGTGAATTGGAAGTTTTCAGAGAAGCATGTAAAAACATGTTTTCAGTTAATGCTGAGCTTACAGAACAGGAAAGTGCTACTTCTCTGCAAATTGTTTACTGGAGTTGCCTTTACTGTCGTAGCAGTGGGTTTCTTAGTTCTGTATCAGGCAAGTTTGTCCGAGGTGACTTGTATTTTGTTCTTTGAAACATAGACACCTGCAGTTTGCACTGGTTTGCCACCATGTATTCTTTAGCAGTGAAACACCTTGCTCACTGGGCAAAACGTTAGTGTGAGTGTTTCACAATACAGCACCCAAATTTCATCACAGCGTGTCAGTGTGCTGTTGTCATATCAATATAACGATGTTCTGTATTCTGAAGCAGCAGAGATGTTTGCAGAGTTAACAACTGTACTAAAAAAAATCTGTTTACTGTTGTTCAATGCCTTGTTTCAAGCACTGCTGGAAAACTCCGTAACTCACATACCAAAAGAAAGGATAAGAAATCTAGCTTTAGTCTTTATCAATGTAGTTCAACAATGCTGTTCAGTCCTGTTTTTCAACATTCACTCTTACTGAATGTACTGTACTGTGTGTCTTCTCACCAAATTCTCTAGAGTGTTCAATTCTCTTATCCTTTCTGTATGTTTTTGCTGTTTGACCCTTTCTTACTCTTCAGTAACTTAGAAGGAAAATGTCGCATATAGTAGTATTTCCAGCCTCTCACAGTAAAAATTTGTTTTTAATTTCTACATGTCACTGGACTTTTTTATTTTCATTTTTTTTGCTGCATTTTTTACTGGATCATTACACAGTTACTCCAGGACATGAAAACTGTGTATCCGGATACCAGCTGAACCTTAGTATTAGAAATAAAGACAGCTTGGAACAGCTTTATGAGGGAGAAGTTACTGACCTAAAAATGGAGCTAAGTGTCCCTTAGATATCTCATTATTTAAACTACACAACATGTTGCCTTAGACACCTGAAACAAAAAAGCTTTGTTGCACAGGTTTAATAAAGCTGTTATTAAAACAGTTTAGTAAGTTTTGAATAAAAAATGAACAAGTGTAATGCTAGAAATCTTGATAGGTTCTTTAAGTTGGTTACTGAGTTAATATTTTTTATTGCTGTCATGGTCACAGTAGAGACAGAGATTAATAACAACATTGTTTTGGACCATCAATTCAAGTTAACACAAAATGAAATAAAACATTGACACAAGAAACACATAGCTTTATGTTGACCAACATTGGGATGTTGAAAATGGGCCAGCTTAATCAAAACGTTTGGCTGACATGTTCTAGCAGCATCCGGAACTTGCTCTACTAGGTGAAAGATGTGTCATTCTTGTCTGTTAAATTGTTGACCAAGAGGGATTGTACAGAACAAATACTGAGTAGACCTGATGGAATACAAAGATTGGATTGGGTTTTCATCAAGCCCATCACTCTTCCTCACATCTCATTGATTTTCAGGGTAGGATGTGGTTTGTTGTTATTTTTCTTTTTAATACGTTCTCCAATTCTATTCGGAAACAATGGCACAGAATTAACAAAGCTTGAGGAGACATATGGGATTACAAAACAAATATGTAGGAACCCAACTCCACCCAAAACCATTTCAACATGGACAGGACGACCTGACCTAGATGACATATCCAGGAAGTGAAAGAGTTGCAATTTACTTTTAGGGCATTCAAAAAACTTCCTTTTTCTTTTAACTGTGACCTTTGATTTATGTAGTTGTACTACAAGAAGGAAGGCTTGGTTCAATCTTGAAGCCTTTTGAATTTTCTGGGCCAGTTGGAAGGTCAGGGAAGAAGTTGTGAGAGTCCAAGGCTTGAAGCGTTTCAGCTCTTTGCTGGGAAGCTTCCAGAGAAGAAAAGCATCTTTGTTTACAGTATCCTTTTGCTGTACAGACTGCAGTTTCCTTCAGGAAATATCCAGCTATTAGGTTGTGGGGTCCTCCACGTGAATATCTGCCTGGCCTTGGTCCTTTCTATGGGCAGCAGGGGAATCTCTGCTCAGGTGCCTGGAGCACCTCCTGCCCTCTTCTCTAACTTCAATGATTGTAGGGTTGTTTCTGGCACTTTTTTTTTTTTTTTTTCCCCTTGCTTCTCACTTCTGTGCAATGATGAAAACACATTTTTAGTTGGGCCAATACACAGAATTGTTCCTGAATCTTGGAGAATAAACCGAAGCACTGCTGCCTTTTCATTCTTTTAAGCATACTGACAGTACATCAGGTGTACAAAGTTTTCCTTGCCATCGTGAGAACTCTGGGGAACTGATTTTGTAATCTAAACCCAAAATTGCACTGGGCAGGTTACCTGAAGAAGCGTGTCCCCTGATAGGCCCTCTGTGCTCAAAGCAACGTAGGAAGCAGGGGCATAACGAGATGGGCTGTGCAACCTCTTCCCTTCACACGTGTACCTTGGGGCACTTCACTGAGGTGTTTTGGGAAGTGTATTGATACATGCCTGAATTCATTCTGAAGATGAAAAACAAGTGGGTGGTTTGGGTGTTTTGTTTGTGGTTTTTTTTTGTTCATATGTTGAGCAAGTAGTGAAGAAGTTAAAGTATTTCACTGCAGCTCACATGGAAAGATGTTTGAAAGGGTCAAATACGACAATGGTTATTCATGTTCAGCTTGCTTTTCAGAGCTCCACTTTTTTGCAGCATGCGGGAGCATGGCAGAGCAGCATGGGATATTGCTTGGTAATCTGAAAGAATGAACATGGAAAACCATTTATGTTCAACCTACATGTGTTTATTTTCGGTAGACTACAGTACTTCTTTCTTATTTTTCTCTTTTATTCTCTTTCCCTCTCCTTATATCTGTAATTGTGCTGATATATATTTTTGAGATGTTTTTTCACTCTTTCTTTACTTCATATTCTGGTTTTGTTGTGGCTTCTTCCATCTTTTTTACATCTTCTCGACCACCTTGTGTTGCCATCTCTTTTTATACATTCATTTGCATGTCCGTCTTCCTTTCTGTTTTATTTTCCCTCCTCCCAACCTTCTTCCTTTTCACAGCATTGGAACACGGGAGGTAGTCACCCAGAAGAACTTGAGTGGCTTGGTGCCCATCCGAGATTTCAGACTAGATCCCAGCCTCCTCTACTCTATTCCTTTACTAGCTCTCAGCCCCAATTTACTGATTGTGTGGCTGTTCCTGAGCATAGCATACCTGGTGGCCAGATTACGTTGCAAGTGAAGATAAGGTTAAAATAAAAACAAAAACAAAACAACAACAAAAAAAAATACCGCTTGAATGTGTATTGCCACTTGGTACCTGCTGGACAAAGGAATGTGTCATAGCATTGTCTGCCAAGAATTATTATTATGCCTTACAATTTTACGTTTCTATTGTACTAAACTGTAAATATACATCAAATTATTTTATCAAAAAGAATTGTATTGAAACTTTAAATTATTGTTCTGCTTTCAGTGCTTGTAACATAGTCTGACATTTGGCCTGTTACCTCGTTACTTTAGCCGGCCTGAAGATCTCTTACCAAATATAGTTTTGTGTTATTTGTTTCATGTATTCCAGAGAAAGGAACTCTGAAAAAAAAATATTTGTATCTTTTGTATATCAAAGGTGTATGCTAATCTTGCCTTTCATTTTTACGAGGTACGAAGAGAAAAATAAAAATATGGGTGGGGTTTATAAGAAATTATAAGACATTTATTTAAAGAAATAAACAAATTTCTACCTTCATTTCAAAGCATAATAGCCAAATTACATTATTATTATACAGTTTGTAGAACCATAGTCTTGTTCCTTTCTCATGGTTAAGTATGTGCCAGTAGACTAGTGTACCCACTCCAAATGCAACTTGCGGTGCGCTGCATGCAGAATTACTCCATTATATTTGTAGATCTGCGTTTTGTAATGTATTAAAGACACAATGACTTGTGGTTAGGGAGAGTATGTAATCGGCAGAGCCTGCTAATGATCCATTATCAGTTTCAGGTGCTTTGTTGTATAACTCACTCTGGAACAGGGTCATTGTCATCCTGCTGAAGTTAGTCTTCAGTATTTCAGGCGAGAAAATGAAGCTATTAATTAGCTCCTGCATTTAGGTGGGTTCTAGGTTTTCCATCGGGCTTTGTGTTAATGACACTAGGCTGGAATATTATTGTTATTTTCACTGTTAAGTGTTGGACAGCTTTAATAAATTATGATGTTGATAGGCGGTGACTTAGAGATAAATGAATTATGGTAAGTTCACAGTTTATGTAAGTGGTGATACTAAAGAAACTTACCCAGCTTAGTCATGCAGAACGATGGTAGAAGAAATTTGATCACCATTTATATCTAACACCAACGTGGCAGATGCCTGTTTAAATTGAAGGGTTTTGTTGATGTAGTGGTCTGGAAGAGCTTGTCAATAGCAATAGTTCATCAAAAATCTAACCTCATTTAACATAGTTTGCTAATTTCATAAAGGGATTTACTTTGCTTGGTGCCTGAGACGACAGAAAATTGGGCTTGATGACTTGAGAAGAACTCTTGTAGTACTGTGATTTCTGATTTCTACTATTACTGACTCGCTCAGAAAACATAGATAGCTGCAGCTTGTATTATTAATGTTAATAAACTTTGAAAGCTCCTGAAAGAGGCAAGCTTTAAAAAAAATAAGAAATAAGATAAAATCAATTCCTGAATTTGGTAAATATTCTGAGTAATTAAAGTACATATTTACATTTGTGTCTTCATGAAATAAGACTGTACAGTACACTATCTCCTGGTATTTTTCTCACTATTCTTCAAATGCTGTTTTTAAAATAGGAGAAAAAAAGGCCACAAAGACATCTATATATTTCCTATTTATTTTTAATTTTAATGAACTTAGGCAAACCTTATTGCTGATGAGATTTCAAATAATAATCTGGTGGTGACGGTCATTTCCACATCCTGTGCTGCTACCCAGTACCACCGCATCTCTGTACAAATTATTTCTTCTTTCTCATGAAGGCTGGTTCATTTGCTATGTGTACCAAAATCTATTTTTTTCGCACAGTGAAGGAATGTCAGGTTGCACTATAGCCTTGTTGTAGCAATGCATTGAATGTCCTGGGTTCAGTCTAACAAGATGTGAAAGTAACTGGAGCATCTCCACTGAACTCCCTGGTACAATTAATCTGTTTTAAATAAAGTATGAAGCTTTGCTCAGTGACTGTCATTAGGCAAGGTTAGGCCTGAAGGACCACCCTGAAATGAATTTAGAAAGAAAGCCTCAACCCTTTGTAAACAACGTGTTGGGAAAGGGGGTTCCTAAACTTCAATAGGGGCAAATTTTTGGCTTTCCTTTTAGCTCGGTTTGTGCTTTCACTCAGGGTTTCAGATTTAAAATGCTGCAGTGTGCAGACTGCCCACAGTGCCTCTGGCAGAACCGTGGCACATGAAATAGGTGTAAAACACGTCTTTGTGTCTGAACGTGGTCAATAACCAGATGCAGTGGAACGGGTAATGAACAGGACGATCCACCTCCGACTGAAAATGCTCAGTCAGCATCCTGTTGTGTTTTATTTAAGCTTGGTGGTTTCATTAAGCTTGATGGTTTCATTACTACACTGAAACATATTTTCTGCCAATTCTTGATTAATCTGTTTGTCTGCAACAGCTGGGGAGGGTGTCTGTAAAACACAAAACAACATCATAGAGACAGTGTCATAAGGTACAGTCCATTCTATAAAAGACCATCACAGAATACACCGTAGAGACAAATTTCAGGACATAACTGCTTCTTGGAATGAAAAATGATGGTGCCAATGCTTTATGAAGCTAGGTGGTACATATGTGACAGAGCTACAGTCGGTTTAATTAACCAAAATCAGACGAACAATGAGCTCAGGAAGAGCAGAGAGCTTGCAGACCGAAGCAGGATCCAAACCCTTCTTTTAAAAGAGATGACTGCCATGTACCTGATACCTGCTGCAGCCACCTCCAAGACAGGAGTAACAGGAGATTTCCACCATAAGATCGTGTACTGTACACTTGCTCATGAGCCTTTACTATTAAATGGTTGTTTAGGTTCCAGTTCTCTATCAGGGAAAGACGTTCTCATGCAAGCCTAATTTGATTTATAATGTATATTTAAAACAGTGCTTCCTCTTTGTATGTCTGTTTTGGGTATAATCAAAGGAACTTTGATGTAGATTTACAATTGTAAAGAAGCCTTATAACTGGAATAGTTTTTTTATCGTAGCACAGGACCTCTTTGTAATGTGGGGCAGTTGCACCAAAACCTTGGGTAGAAGTTAAGCTCTACGTTCTGCACAGCTTTGTTTCATTGGGGTGATGGCTGCCAATGCAGCCAATCTCTTTTGCACCCACACAAAGCTGCTATTTCATGATTAAGATTTTTTTTTTTTTTAAGTATGTTGGTTTTCAAGTCAATTTATGCATGCAGAGATAACTGGAAAGCCATTATTTTTGTATCAGCTTTAATCTTTAAGTAAGTTCTGATAACAGCGACATGCAGGGAACAAGAGAATTACTCTACAGCTCCTTTGGAGAGATCAGCAATTTTCCTTTTTCAGCCTAATGTACTAATAAATTAGCAGAACTGCTTTTAAGCAATCTTTTGGGATCCCTTGTGCGATGAAGCGGCATGTGAACTCCACAACAGTATACCTGGAAATACATGAAACCTCCCTAAAAGAACTCTTTCGGTAGACGCACTGCTGCTTTTTAGAAATGCAAAACTAGCAACCAGACATAGCATGTGTCCATTCTGTGTGCTTCTTACTAGCATTGTATGATGAGTCATCATTTTTAATATTTGCAGTGGCAAATTAATTAAGCGCTCATTAAATTTAACCAACTTTTTTTTTTAATGCTGTAAAATAACCAGTTCATTTCATCTTAGTTTAAGTCTTTTTTTTTTTTTCTTTTTCCTTTTTACTGCTGTCATTTTTTTGTGCTTGTTTTTTTTCCCCAGCGAGGGTTGTCGGCGAGAAAATACAATGAAGAATGTTGGATGTCGCAAGTATGCGTTTAATTCCCTGCAACTGAAGGCTTTCCCAAAGTATTACAGGCCTCCAGAAGGAACTTATGGAAAAGTTGAAACATAAGCATACCATGTCCTTTAATTGCTGTTCCATTAAAACGTGTGGATGCACTCTAGATTAACACCTGATTTTGTCATCCAGAAGAGATAAATAACCTTTTTGTACGTTTCACTAGGTTATACAGAGCATGTTACTTACCGAATTGGGATCTGTAGTAACACTTATTCTGACACCTTAGCTTGAGAATAGTGTGATGACCAGTGCCCATTTAAATAGCCTCCAGTGTATGTAAGATGACCAGACTATTGTGCTACTCGGTAATTACCTATCTGCGAAGTGCTAGGTACCTCCTGGATGGGCAAGGACTCTGCGAATGGCATTTAGGCAGCTGTTTCACACGACATCTTTTTATACTGAGTTGACGTGAGATTGAGCTTTTCATAAACTTTTTAAAACAGAGTAAAACTCAGAAAGTTGTAAATAAAAAGGGATTGGACCCTAGGCAGTCTAATAACTGTAGAATGCATTGTTACAATCAAGGAGCAGGTGTTTAACTTTTAAAAATAATCAGCACAATAAAAGCCAGGAGACGAAATCGTTTCACTGTATATAGGATACCATCTTGATAAATGAAAATAACAATACATAAAAGGCATATGAGGTCTAGTTTCTAGTTCTGTCCAAATAAAGACAAATTCCTGTCATTTTCAGCACAAAAGGACTTTAGCAAACATCTTAAACCAGTTTTAAAAAGTGTTTTTCAAAAACATCATGATGCTTAACCATTGATGCCAGCAACAGTTCCCCCAGCCCTTCCCAACTCTAACATGTTGAGTATGTCTCATGGTACTGTAAATTATTTAACACATTTTTTATCCATGGCTTTTTATAATCGCTTCTGGATTGTAAGCATTAGTATGTCAGGGGGTCGCATTTTTTTGACTGATGTTTTTTTTTCAGTATCTGTCAATTTGAAAATGCTCAGAGTGCCCAGCACATCCCCGTTACTCCGTAACAAAAATTTGTTTCTGGTATTTTAGGACTGTAAAAAATAGCTTTGCGTTTTACCTTACTGAATGTTCAGAATCATGTGTGGGCAGCATGACTATTTTCAGAATATTTCTGAAGAAGATAGCAATGTCCCATTTTGACAGAAAGTCATGTGCTAGTGCACGAGACCCTCAGATGTGCTCCAGCCTAAGACTAAGGCAATCAGTTTGATAGCATTTGATAAAAAATGTTCAACAGATCTCCTTGCAAATCATGTCCCAAAGAATGCCTTCGAAGATGAGATACCTTCTTAAAAAGCAGCTAAACATTAGGTTCCGAATTTTAACAAGATTAGATCATTCCCAGCTGGCTTCATCCAGCCCGCTGTGCCCTCCCCCTCTTGGTTTCTAGAACAGCAAAATCTGGTCGTTTGCTCTTGTGAGAGTAGCAGCAGCCAGGTAAGTATATGGCTGGCTTCTTTCTCCCTCGCACTGATGTTTGTCTGTGCTGTCACTGCTCTATCAGTCATGTTCATTCTGCTCCCATACAGGTTTGGGGGTTTTAAGCCTAGCAGTTTTTGCATTTTGCTTTCTGCAGTCCAACACTGAGCAGCATGTCACCTCGCCAGTTAAGAGAGTTCTGCTGAGCTAGGTCGTTACCATTACTTCAGTCTTTCTAGGAGAACAAAACAAAAAAATTCTGAGCAAATTCACTGCTTTTGTAGCACCTGTCCTGAACAAACCATCTGTAGAAGAACAGTCCCTTGGAAACATTACGAACCTGTTCTCCAACTAATAAATGTGTTGCTTTTATTTTTGGGTTTTTGCAAATATGTAAGCAAATATACAGTTGAAAAACTTTTCAGTGGGATTTATTTAGGCATTATTCCATTAGTTCTGTTCAACCTTCAGTCCCTGGCCCGTTATTAAATGCTACATTTATTTTTGTATAAACTATACTCTTTGTATCCCTTAGTTTTTATGAGTTGATGATTTTATTTTGTATATTTCAAACATAGTTAATATTTTAAGTCCTGTATTGTTACACTAAAAACCTTCCAATGTTCCGCTTCAGAAGAAAATACCGAGAGGTCTGTTGTAACAATTAGCAGAGCCACTCTCTTAGGTTGTGGCCAGCAATCATTAGATCTACTCTAGAGCTTAGTGAGCCTTTATTTATTTTGTATACCAGTGTAATCAGAAAAAGTTCCCGAATTTTCTATATGCATGGTTTTCGCTCACCTTTTTAAAGTGGTGGCATACCGGTCTCCAGTATTGCATTATTTTGTTTAAAATATTCTGATTTTAGTACGCTTACATGTAAAACCTCATCGTCCAGCTAACGTTTTATATATACAACGGTGTCAGTACATGCACGTCAATGGCTTGTTTTAAAGGGCATCGCGAACAGTAAGATCTTGAGCAGTTCATTGAAAAACTGTGAAACTTGAAATCCACATCGGGGACTTCACAGGGGTGAAGTAAGCTTTTCTGTTGCACAGGAGAGGCAAATTTAAGGATTACTGTAAAATGAAGTTCTGTCTAATGTTCTTTTTTGAGTAATTTTTTAAATTATAAAACATACAAAGGTAAAAAAAAAAAAAGTTGCCAAGTATGTTCTGTGTATGTTCTGTGAAAGTACCTACAGCACAGTTGCCTTTTGTTTCATTTATACATGTAAAATTATTGTATAATACAACACTGTTTTGTCCCAACACAATTGTATTTGCCAAGCTTTGTGCATTGAAATATTTTTATTTATTTGTTTTTGGGCAGTATTAATATATCATAAACATATGGCTACTGTTTTATATATTCTAATTCATCCAACCCATGTATGCTGTAAATGTGCTAGTCTAGGATGAAAACCAATAAAGAACTGACAAGAATAACAGATGGTGGCTTACTTTTACTGCTTTGGGGGCAAATTAATCAACGCTTTCAGGTTGCTTGGCTTGACGTGCTTTATCTGTTGGAGAATATATGAAAGTGTGCATGGAGATATTTTTACACGGATGTGCAAGTTGGGAACTCCTCAGCCCTGCCGCTGTCAATTTTCTGCAGTGAAGTCAGGCACTGGTTCATCCTGTGCAGACATGCCAGTCTGCAGCAACAGTTAAAGAAATGGTGAGAGATTTGTGGGTTTCAAGCTTGTTTCTTCTCCGTTAATCTTCTGCAACTCCTTCCTGAGCTTCCTTCTCCATTTGGCACTCTTTCTTCCAGTAACAATTCCTCCTCTCTTCTTCAGTCAATGCATCCCCACAGCAGCTCTGGTAGTTATGCTGATTTCAGTAGGGATGGGTTGTCATTGTTGATTCTCATTTTGATATCAGATTAAATAAATTTCACGTGGGAGTGTAACAGACAATCATCCAAAGCATTCGGATTTCTATAGAATACAAAGAATAGAACATAAAAATTAAATTCTTCTGTCACTGAATGTTTGAGAATTGCCAAATACAATTTTATTTGTGTGAGAGAAGACTGATGGCCACAGATGGGAAATGACTTCTATGGATTCAGTTTTCTGGTTACACAAAATAAAACAGTACCAGGAAAAAACAAAAAAACAAAAACAAAAAAAAAACAACCAAAAAACACACACTGATTTCATTAAAGATGCAGAAGGAGAAGATGCTTGACAGGTGGGATTTCCTAAATGGAATATACAAAATACATCTACATATGTGTGGGGGCATACATACATACATTAGTATTTCGTGACTTTTCAACTGATGTCAAAAAAAGTATCCGCCAGTGTTCATTTTAATTTAAAATAATCAAAATCCTACAAAAGAAACATTTTGGGTTTTCATCCATACTCATAGCAATGACGAACACTGGGGTTTGGGGGTCTGCAGAACAGAGCGGGTTCCCACGTTGCCATGAGTTTGGTTAATTGATGCTTTCAACCTGGGGGTATTGACTAGTGCTCGACTCGCTGGAGCCACCGGGGGTACCTGCAGTGATAAGGGCACATCCTGAGGTTATCACCACCGCAACGAGGAGCTGCTGAGAGCAGCACTGACTGCAGCCCAGACTGAACCACTTGGTCTGGAGTCAGTCGCTGCCCGTCAGGCTCCTGAGGTGTTTCATTATTCATAAAGTTGATAAGTTCAAAGGAGAGAGATGAAGACCCATCCTGCAGAGGCTAATGGTAAAGGAATTATCCGGGACATGAACACTGTGGTGGAAAGCAATGATCTGGGGTGGGAAGGTGTTTGTTTGCTCGGCTCTGTCATCAGGGACACCACAAATCTCTTCTGCTGAGCCTGCACAAAGGTTCCTGGCAAAAACCTTTGTTGGGAGGAATGAAATAATTTCCATTTGGCTGGGGGCGGGGAGAAGGGGCAACGTTTCAGAAAGTTCCCAATCTATATGAATTAAAATTTTAACGATGATCAATATGGAACTGGGGCATAAAGCAGTTGCTTATCCACGTGGTCTCCAGATCAGACCTGGTTCTGGCGACTAAGATGTACGCTTAATTGCTGCTACTTCATACAAAGTCATAAAGCTTCTCCAACATGCACATCAATGCTGCAATAAGATCTTATTGCTGCCTACGACTCACGTGAGTTGTGCCTACTTACCAGTACGATGCAGAGAAAAGCTGCTCAACTCTTAGGCTTTAAATCAAGTCAGGATGGGTGAGGTTTGTCAATTTATTGATGACATGTAATTAACCATCCATCAGTGAATATGTTCAGAATCAGCGTGAGCAGTACAGAAGATAAACAACAATCTCAGACGCTTATAAAGTCTTCCTGGACACCTAAAAATGTCTAAGTACCCTTCTGTAACTAATTATAAACATTTCACAGCTTTGCACGTGTGACTCCTTTACAGCCACACGGGTTACACGTGTGCACCCCAGTCCCCCATGTGGTGGGTGCCCCCTTCTTTGCCCACTCCTCCAGGCAAG